TAGTCCGATCCTCAGGTTCTGAAAATCAGCTTTTAGGTTATTGAAAATGCTCACAAAAATGTCTCTGATTTCATAGAGTAACATGAATTTACCCATGGTATTTCTTCGAAGTTCATCATTAATAGTTAATCATATTATATAGGGAAAATTATCAAATCTCAAAATGCGAATAAAAACACCAGCTATTCATTTTCTAATTGACAATTGATCAACAAATATATTTTAGGATAAAAAAATATGGGTATCCAGGCATTTGGAGAAAATTGCATCTTTTTTATGCTTATGTAGTATTTTAGTTCTTCCATTTACTTCATTATATAATACATAGTGTAAAAAGCTTGCGCTATCATTGCTACACATCACGTATGATGTGTAATTTCATATCATGCAAATAAGCATTGGTATCTAATGATAGATTAAGGGAAATTCATTTTCTATAAAAAATGGATTTATTTTTGTCTTTTTTGGAGTACAAATGTCAACTTTTTACAAGACCTTTTCTAATACCTATATAAAAAAAACCTTGAATCCTATTGAGATGCATAAAATGAAAATTGTTGCATGAAAAGATCCAAATTTCAAGCTTCGTTTTGAGACTTTTGAAATAAAATGATAAATTTAAGAGTTATCCTTCCTGGCTGAAGATCGGATATCCTTAAGTGACATAGTCTATTATATACGTTTATATTATTATAGCATAAATATTTGCAAATTAAAAAAGAACATTTTCCTTTAAGAATATGACACTTTTTTAATGATTGAGAAGAAAATCATTGATTTGTTTGCTTTGGGAAGATTCTGAACAAGATTCGGAATACAGAATGAAAACGGAATCGTCAAATTACAAATTACCAGTGACTGTGGGCTGAATGACGAGTCATATAAAGTAAATACAGTCATGTGGCCAATTAAGAAGTGAAATTAACTTCTGAATGAGAAATTGATTTGGTGGGGTTAAAGATCCGCGGGCTAGAGTTTGACAATTGAAAGGTGATTAACAGCTGTCAAAATCGGAATTATACAAGATGTCGCAGATCCAGAAATCTGAAGAGAGAATGAAGCAACATCAGAGATCGTACAGGCAATGTCAGACTTCAACAGAACAAACTATGTAATCTTGGATACATTTTATAATAAGCTGTTTGGCTTATGCATGTTTTCCTAACCCCCCCCCCCCCCTTCCTTGTAGCAAAACTCTATTATGTGACTCTATATAAACAATGTAATCGAGGGGAATGATGATTATAATATCTATGTCTGAAGTTACATGAGCTCATTCGAGCTTTAATTATGATATAAAAAATATATTTTATCTATTATCATAGTAGTTTAAGTTGGTACTAAAAAAATTCTGATAGTTTCAAATGTAAATATATGAGAAAATACCGTTGGTTTTTGGATGGAATAGTGGGAGGGGGTTTATATGCATGGAAAAAAATGAATTCGCTGTTTAAGCGAATTGCAGCAGTATAAATAATATATATGCCCTCTTAAACCGCAAAAACTTGTTTTCTTAATAACATATCTATACACCATTACAGTAAAACTCAAAAATATGTGTATAGGATGTAACAGCAAAACTATACATATTGAGTATACTTAATAGCATAACTCATAATTTAATACGGAGGGGACTCGAGAAATCTTATTTTAATTAGATTTATTGAAAATCAATGCACAAAATTATACATCGTGGTGTATACATGTACCAGTAGTCTAGTTTTGTATAAAGTTTTATTGAAATCGGACCAAAGCTGTTAGTAGGGTAGTATTTGAAGAACTATATTTAAACCGAGGCAGGCTACTGACAAAGTAGTTAATGTTGCAAGAATTTCAACGATGTCTTTTAAAGTCACAATTTTGCAAATATTATGGTTGTTATTATTGTATTGTTTACAAATAGAATCTATCACCATCGTTTGGTCATTTTGTGACTTATACATGCTCTAAAGTCCAACCAAACAATACAAAAAAATTACTGTGAGCAGAGCAAACAAATTCTCTAAAAATATCAGAAATAGAATCAGGTACCTTGGAGGAGTAAGCATCCCCTGTTGACCAAACACAGACACCGTGAACCCCTTGTCATGACTGGTAAACGGAGAAATTTACCTGATCAGTACAGAGGGTGCTTGTTGGATATACATGACCTGTCTACAGGGGATGTTTTACACTTCTACGCTCCTGATCCCACATCTTGTGTCTCCACAGTCCATTATTTTGCCCTGTTTATGATTTGTATTCCTACTATATGTATGAGATAGAATACTGTTTGATATCTTCACCTTTGACATTAGCTGCAGAACTGTAGCTCTCCGATATAAAATATACTGACAGACCGGAGATCGTTCATCCCATTTTTCCAGACCAGCGAGCTACAGATCTGCAGCTACTTTTACATTATAGATTAAAAGTTACACAGTCAGACGGACGACGGGTACTTTAGCATATTTACCCCAACAGAATTTTTACATCATAGAAATAATAATAAATATAAAACCACCGTACATTAAGGAAGATCCTTGGCATATAATATACAACCTTAAACAGTGTTCTTTTTATCTTGAACGTGACATTTTAGGGTCACCTGAGTTACCTATTACTTTTTTGTACGTCGTTGAGCGTTTTGTGCCGTAGCTGGTTTTAACAAATTTTGGTACATGATATGGGTAAGAACTAAAAATGCACATTGCATGGTCTCAAGCCCTCTGGGGCCTATAGGGTGTGGCAAATGCAGCAATTCTAATGCAGTCTTCATATATTTCATTCAAATTGTTAGTTTGAAACCTCTGCAAAGATTGTGAAAAGCTGTGATTGGTCATGTTTATATGGAAGCCTCCTCAGGTGGTGTAGATTCAACTTTGTTCAAATCATGACCCCTGGGGGTAGGGTGGGGCCACAATAGAGAATCAAAGTTTTACATAGGAATACAGAGGAAAAATCTAAAAAACTTCACAAGAACAACAAAGCCATGATTGGTCATAATAATAGTAAAGCATCCTCAAGTAAAGTAGATATAATTTGTTCAAATCATGACCCCTCTCCCCCTCCCCCCCCCCCCTCCTGGAAAATAGAGGGGCCATTACAGGGGGGTCATAGTTATACAAAGGAATATAAAGGATATATCGATAAAAATTTTCATCTTAAGAACAGCAAAGCCATTATGTGTCATATTAATTCAAAAAGCAACCTTAGGAAGTGTAGATTCAAGTGTTTAAATCATTCCCCACTTTATATTTAAACTTTTCAATACTAAACTGATTTCTGCTTTTTCCTAGCCAAAGTGCTCAGGTGAGCGATGTAGCCCCTGGGCCTCTTGTTTTTTAGCTTGTCAGGAAATTTTCTGGGTTGGAAATTTTTTTCTCGACTTTGGTGGACCCCCCTGGGAAAAAAAATCAAGGATCCGCGTCTGTAAAAAGCAATGAGTTATTGCCAAGCCATTGGGCTCATGGGAGCCCTCGCTTATATACCGGGTTTCTACAGTGTTAAACAGGACTTGTAGACTCTGGACTACTGGATGAGACGCCATGCAGTCTATTGCAGGTCCCACCTCGGGAAATAGTTCCCTCCCTCGGGAACGATAAATTTGCTATTTCCTTTATATACCCATTCCATAACTATATAATATTCAGTTAGCACCCGTCAAAGATTCTCTATAGCCAAGGACATGCAGATTTCTTTTGTAGCCCTTTGAAGAACATATATTAATTGTTGCCCTGTACATATTGCGGTCTGCAACAATATATACCTACATGTATCCTGTGCCTGCACACATTGTTGTCTGTATATATAGGTACATAATTATTGATTCAAGCGACAATATATGCTTCAAACATTGTTTGCACATTATTGTTTTGAAGAATGTTTACTCTGAGAGAGAGAGAGAGAGAGAGAGAGAGAGAGAGAGAGAGTATATCTTGTATATATTAGAGATAAATCAAAAGCGTTTAAGTCTTGCGGCTGCTTCTTTGCAACTGTGTGTCTAAAAAGCATGGATTGTCGTTTAGTAAGCATGCGACCTCATGAAATCGAAGATATAAATGTTTGACATCATCATTATTAACCATACTGGATAATTGTACATTTATCAGCCTATCTTCTCCTACCCTTCTCTGTATTAAAACAGTTGAAGGGTGGATGGGTGGGGTGTGTATGTTAAAATAACTTTCGTCTATATAAGTTTGGCATCGTGAGCTTCAAACATAGGTATTATGTATGTATCCCGTGTGAAGTATGAGTGAACCAAAGGAGAAAGGATAGTTATATTAAGAAGAAGACTCCCCCATTCTTTACCCTTGTCGCTGCGTACCTGTTCATGTATTAAAATAAATTAATGAATTGGATAAATATATCAATCTATGCTTCGTTTAAGCTGAGACACCTCATAAAATTCTACTTTTGATTTTAAAGCTTAAAAAAAGGACACATACATATGTAATTTTGTGTATCTTAGTATAAATACATAGTATATACCATATCAATATAGAAGAAAAAGACAGTAAAAGGGCTAGCGTAATTACAAAGAAGGTCGCAACATTACACCGTTCGCGATTCAGAAGTTAATTTCTCATCATTAGATTTTTCAACAGGTAAAATGTCCTTATTGTCCGGAGTATTAAAGCTCCATTCACATTTAAATAATTCCATTAACTTTAACAAACAGAGAGTCGCAGGTATCACGGTGGAGATTATTAAACTGACCGCCCGGACGGTTAATAAAAGAGAATTTCTCCGTCCTGTGATTGGCTTTCTGGCACCCCATTCAATCCCTTTACCTTTATACGAGAACAAATAACTAAGACATACCTGGCGTGTTTTATTAAATGATAGAAAAAAAATAGAAAAAAGTTTTAATGGAATCAACATGATTTCATATATTGAACAGAAAGAAAATAATTAGTTCCTCAAATTGTAAGGCCATGCCGTATATTTAAAAAAAAAAAATACGCGTGCTTCGTCAAGCGTGTCGAAAAATATGACATTTAGTTAGGGAGGTAAACAGAACAGCCATTGTATCTCTATACACGGAAAGCACATTGCTAAAAGATCGGTTCGCGAAAATGTTCAGTGTTGATAGTTATACGAACGGAGTAAGATGCGAGAATATCGAGTGCATATTGTGAATTTACCGACATGATTGTGTATATTTTATTATCGATAGGGCTTATATCACACGTTAGTTGCAAAGGTAAGTTTTTCACCTTCACGGCCGCGGCAGATGAAAGGAGTTTCTCTCTCTCTCTCTTCTCTCGCGGTGTGTATTGGATTTCACATGTTTTGTGTGTACATACCGCCATAGCAGATCGAAAACGGTAAACACACGGTCTTGATACACAAATGCTAAGTCCCCATAGGGGCAAAACATATAAATAAAATGTAAATTATTTACAGCCATTTAATAGATTTATCTCTCCGATTTTCTTAATAGTTATGTCGTGACCCCATTGACGTGAAATGACTCGAATCGGAGTTAATGCAGCGGGGAGACGGCTTTTTATAATTATATCGACTTTTTTTGAAAAAAGCAGATCGTTTTTTTTATTTTCTAGTTCTGTTAACTATTATATTGGTTTAAAAGGTGACGACATTGATCATCATACAAAATTCTCTCTCTCTCTCTCTCTCTCTCTCTCTCTCTCTCTCTCTCTGTATATTATATATATTAAGCCTATGTTTTGCAGAGAACTTTGTCGGATTCTTCTTTCATTTTTAATTTTTATGTTCAGAAATTTGATGATTATTTTTCAATCACTATTTTATAATTCAATAATATTCCCATTTCTATTATCATTAATAGCTTCATGTGAGCTTGTGTTAAAAAAGAAATTCAAAGGTATCCTCATTTTGATTTGTGAGTTTTAAAGTATACCACTATAAAATTAATTACTGATATAATTTTTAATTCTGCCTCTCATGATACAGAAGAGTTCCTTATTGTAAATTTGTAAAAAATGATATATTTTTTTCCAATTATTTCCTTCTGTCACTTATTTTGATACTATAAATATGCTAAATGTTTGTATAAGAATGGGATTCAATTATTCAGTCATTGTTTGCTGCAAGTGATATGTCAACATCTTACATGCAGTTGTAATTTTTTCATCCAATTCTAAATGTAGTACTTTAAAGTTATTTGATTTTGATTAAAAAAAAGAGCATATTAGATGCAAATAAATTATCTACTTATCATGCCCCGCAGAACTCGTTTTGATTTATTATATTCCTTTACAATTATAGATCACGTCTGACAGCTAGATACGATGTATAAATTTATTATTCAGAGTCAAAATGTGATGATATATATAAAAAAACCAACATGTTAAGACAATTATCATATTATCATATATATATATTATAAAGGGAGAGGATTTTCAGTGAGAAATACATTATGTACATAATATTTGATAAACTTATATATTTAAACTGTATATGTGGTACGGTGAGAATTTTGTAAAAATATTGGAGTTTACTCGATTTCTTTCTCTCTCACTCTTTCTTCCTCTCTCTCTAACGCACACAGCCATATAGACAACTTATTTAGTGCTTGGTTGAAACTTGACAATAGGAATTAGATAAAATGTAGATGGAACTGAAAGGATACTTAAGTGTAGATGGAAATTAAATAAATTGGATATCTAAATCTACATGGAAGTAGATAGAATACTTAAATGTATGAGTGGAACCAGATAGAATACTTAAATGTATGGGTGGAACTGGATAGGATACTTATTAAATGTATGGATGGAACCAGATAAGTGGAAGCAGATAGAATACTTAAATGTATGAGTGGACTCACCGGATAGAATACTTATTAATAAATGTAAGGGTGGAACCAGATAGGATACTTAAATGTATGGGTGAAACCGGATAGAATACTTAAATGTATGGGTGGAACCGGATAAGATACTTAAATGTAAGGGTGGAATTGGATAGGATACTTAAGTGGAACCGAATAGAATAATTAAATGTAAGTGGACTGGGCTAGGATACTTACATATGTAAATGTAAGGATGGAATTGGATAGGATACTGTACTGAAACATGTTAAATGTAGGTAAAACTGCATGTATATCTGAGTGTAGGTGGAATAGATAGGATACATACTTAATCAAGTGTATATCATGTATAGTAAAACACATTTTTAGCAAACATGCATGGACATTGCGAATTCATGCTTACAACAAACTTCTCCTTTTTCGTTTTCAACTTTAACTAGAAAATTATGAAAAGTTAACTATAGATATAATGATTTATGGATAAAACGAATGAATTTCACCTGTCCTTGGTACTTCGTTATTACCTTGTGTTATAATGCGCTTTCCCAGCTGCAGATATGGATGTAAAAGAACAAAGAACCCAAGGTGCTCTCAACCTTTCCTTGCATCATATTACCATTTTGAAAAGTGAAACATCCCGAAAGTTGTTTTTTTTGAAAAACCCGGAAATATGATATAACTTAGGGTTTGTTGTATAATTTATGAATTAATATCAGATCTCTGGATGATGAAATTAACCTTTTTTATCATTTTTATGAATATTATCTAAACAATTGAAATAGGGATCGTATAGAAAATTAATATATTCAAATTTCATAAGAACATGAAGAAATGCCTGCATTAGCATAATTTTTCCATTATTTTGACTTCTGTCTTTGAAGTCGGTCTTCAATGACTCGTAATTTTTGCATATAATTCAATGTAAATCAAGATTTTTCCCCCTATTACTTAAGGAACCAGGATTATGGTTCAGATTTTAATATTTATGAAAATCCTGAAAGACTTCGTTTCCCTTTAGTGGTTGTTCAGGTAATATATGGCTGAACGTGACTCCTGATATTCAATATTATAATAATTTTTCTTCTCAGAGAAGACCACAGTCAAGTCAAATTGTAAAGATTATGAACAGATTAGATGTCGACAGTTTAAAGTTTTATTTTTCAATTAAGGTCACCTACACACGTAATAATCAACAACTAGCTTTAAAGATTAAAAAAAAGTGGTAAATTAAATCAGTGTACATTTTTTCTTTTGGGAAACTAGTAGTTATTGAAATAAACTTAATGATTTCAGACTTGTCGAAATTTTGAAATCACTGTCAGACATTTGGTCTGACAAAGTCAAATGTTCTGTCGGACCGGACAAAGTTTTGTCAGACCAGATACATGTACCTTATTTTGACGCTGAGAAAGGAAAATAAATAACAGCACCAAAAATGCCCTTTAATATTTTCAACAGCCTTCAATCTCCTAAGTTTCTTTTCTTATGATAGAGAGTCTTTAATAAGAGACATAAATAACATTTTTATGTCTTTCCAGTAACAATTTAAATTGACCATCGTCACTACGCCGCACACACCATCACACGGCCATCTCTTCTGTGTTTATGACCATCAGTTGCGCATCCCGATCCCGACCTTTTTTAAATTTGCGTCACGCTCGATTTTTTCAAACGGTCATTTGGACCGACGTTTTCTTAAAAGTTATCAGTCCAGACAAATTTTTACCGGCCTTGCCGACAGGACCGAAGGATTTCGACAAGTCTGTGATTTCCTGTACTTGTACTCCCCCCCCCCACCCCTAATCAAGATCCACCCCAACCCATTCAAGATCTATCCCCCAGTCAAGATCCCCTGCTCAACCTAATCCAGATCCATGCAGGTCCCAACCCAGTCAAAACCCCCCTCCCAACCTAATCAAGATCCATCACCCAACCCAATAAAGTTCTCCCCCTCAAACTAATCAAGATCCCTCCAGCCCATCCAACATCCACTCTCATCCCAACAAGATTCTTTGTAAGTCCAAATGTAAATCTCGTACATGTGAGCTTCATTCAAAGTAAAAAAAAAGCATAAGATTAAGGTTTATACTACTTAAAGTACTTGAAAAAGAATGGGGTCAATTGTTAGTTTGCGTGACTATTTATAATTTCCTTGTATAGAGTACATGTATTAGTGTATACTTTTTACTTATGATATTATAACAATATTTCCGTGATGATTTTCCAAAACACTGCTAAACATTATACAACTAGGATTATTAAGGGACTTTGGATAGGGGGAAAAAAGTAATTCTTTCAGATTGATACTGTATGTTAGTTAGATAGCTATTACACATGTATTAAACTTTAATGGGGACTTTTTCTGTTGTAGCCCCTCAATGTTGCAGTACAGTAAAGAACGAGGAGTGCCGAACAGCCTGTTTTACGGTAAGGGATAGAACTCAGTAAATTAAGAGGTGTTAGGGAATAAAGAAAAAAGATTCACTGTATTAAGGATTATGAACAGTGACAGATTTATTTTTACTTAGGGGTATGATTTATTGATTATATTTAAAGTAAGAGTTAGGCCAACATGAAAAAGTGGATTGTTTGATGTACAGAGTCTGGCCTTCCACGGTTACAGCACAGTAAACTCGATTGTGTTTGAACAAAGTTTTAACGAGTGTGATTTAGCAAATATATACTTGATTATAATATATTGTTTAGAGTAATATTTGACTGTATATGGGTACGTGAAAAGTAGCTTACTGATCATAATACAGTTAAAAATGATTATCATTAAAAAAAAAACACATTTAAACAATACATTTTTTTAGTATTGGACTTTTTTCTTTATTTTTCTTTAATTTTTGCAATTTTTTAAAATATTTTGATGGTAACCATGGTAACAAGGCCCTTTTTAACTTTTGAACATTGAAAAACTCTTCTGTCGCCAGACTGGTCACATCAGAGACACAAAAACAACACATGTGACATTTATGACTCGGCTGTGTCTTTTAACTTTCAGCATATGTTCCACACACTGAGCAAGGATTATGATAATTTATTAAATATTATGTGCATATATAATTGATATAGAGTCCTCCTCAAACGATAGAATTATACATTTAGAAGGCTTGACGAAGGTTTATGTGTGAAGGTGTATCTTGAAAGAAGACTGTTAAAAAAATTTCATAATTAGAAATTTGAATTTCATTTCATTTATCTGCATTTAATTAAATGCAAAGCTGTCAAACTAGTGTGAATTTGAAAGAGGCTTTTATCTGATGAAACTTACATGTGAAAACTCAAGTTTGTATAAATTAAGGGTCGGCAAGTATATGTCATTTTATCTGCAGTAATAATGGGTCCATGTAAGAAAACACATTTTATAGTACGTGTTTCGATTCCGTAACTTTATTTTAACATTTAGTTCATTATTAACTGGATGTACTGACTTGAGGGGATATCATCATAAGCTTTTTTTTTGTTTTTGTTTTGAGAAGTTTACAGGAAATGCTATCATGCTGCTTTATCATATGCATATAGAAAAATATATAAACATACCTCAAGAAAAATAGTAATTAACTCATCAATTATTTATGATAGAGCAATTAATTTAAGAGTTGATTTTTGTGTGTTAATTACTTTTCTAATATTAAGTAATGTCTTCTGATAGAAATGTAAATATACATAAATAGGTAGGAAAATAAAGAACCTTTTCCCCTAATTGTTTTCTTTTTGGAAGAGAATTTGCCAATAAACACTTCAGAGGGTGTTCAGCTCCAAGACATTACAAACAAACACACAGATCAGCGTAGAAGGACGGGGGCTGGCTAGCTGTCAATCACAAGACCGACTTCTGTACAGGCTGATCAAAACGTTTTAAAGAGTCCGGGTGATTTATGGCTGAGATAGGACTAGGGAGCTGTGAAATTCTATACAACCCTTCGTTACTAGTCTGCTCTGATCAATAATGCGTTCCCATTAACCTCGTCTTTATCTCCACACTATCTGTTATGGTTTGTTATATAATCTAGACCTGGTGGCACAGTGTATGGAGAGAAAAAAAAAAAACTTGTGACCTGTTAGCAAAGTTTTCTTAATTTCATTTTTTTGAGTGGTTTATATGAGGTGAAAAGGGGCTATAAAATATGATAATTCTCATCCCGCTTAGTTTTGTTAATGAGGGGGGAAATCCTGGAAAAAAGTAATGGACATACAGACAGACAAGTCCTATGTCTGCTGAGCAGTGCCAGGCAATTTTGAAAACAATATGTCATAATAAGAAAATGTATATACACATGTATCTGTATTTATATATTCATCATTTACTAATATCAGAATGGTTGAAAGATAAAATATGACACTCTGTCTACAAGAGAATTTATATATATTTGTAGTACAAAGATTACTAATTATAATTCTAAGATTAATTAAAACTCTTAATTATTTCAATCATTGAAGGTGGAGTATAGGACTAGTGTTTCAAATGTACATGTACTAAGATTACAGCTCTACTGTTATCGTATGAAAACTACAGGACTAATGTTTGAAAGTACTAAGATTATGGCTTTAGCATCGCCATATGAAGACTAAAGGACTAGTGTTATAAATGTACTATGAAAATGTACTATGGAAAACCAAGTCAAAAACAAAAAAAAAAACAAGTCAGAAAAGGAAAGTGGGGTCAATAAAGAGAGATTTGGTAACAAAGGATGATCTATAAGAATAAAATGTGAGAAATTGCCGTGCGACGTTGGTCTGTTAAAATTGATTTAGACGTTTATCCTTTTATTAAGATTTAATTACATTTTGTCTCGGTACAGTATTTAATTTTAAATTCACTCTCTCTCGGGAGGGTGTTCTCGGCAAACGGAAACAAACAAGGGAGATAAATGACATCATCTAATTGCGACAAAAGAATTTAATAACAGCTGAAAAAATCCAGAAAGGTAACTCCTTATTAAGCCACCAAGGACCTAGGGACCATTTTTATACCTGTTTTAATTAAAACAGAGAGAGATTTGACGAGGTATAGAATTTGAACAGCGTCTGACACCTCGTTTATTTCCCTAGAAGCCTTCATGTTTACTCTCTGCTTATTAAGTCATGGGTCCCCTCCTATTCTCAGGAATGTCACTTTTTCTGGGGTTTTCAGACTCAGGGATGGACGTTGGATTAGGAAGACCTACAGTGAGCCACTGTCTGTCTCAGATTTGTTAGTAATCTAAAGGATATCCGACATTGAGCCATCAGCTAACATGGCATTCTCCAATGTTAAGACTTGTATACTCTTATAAAATAGCTCTTTTGTTCTTCCAATTATCAAAAAAAAATTTTATATGTGAATGATACAAAGAGATATTCAGGAACTCTAGGCTCATAATTTAAAATAGACTGACATAGGCAACAACTGATTTTTGAGGAGGGGAGGAAAATTGGATTAAGGGGGAGGGGGGTTGTTTTCATTATTGCTGGGGGGTCTAATTTTTCATTATTGCTGGAGACCTATCAGAAATGGCCCATAAGTTTGAATTGTGTCAGCAAATTAAATAAGAGTGTTGTGCAAGATTGATTTTTTTGGTAAGGGTTAAATTGAATTTATGTGCAAATTTGTTTAGGAGGCCACCAGGGACACTTGCCATTGGAGTGTTTGGTTTTGGGTATTTATGAACTTTACAGTGATGGGTTATCACTTGGGAGGAGGAGATTTGATTCTTTAGTGTTAAAAACTATTGTATTGAAACTTGATAAAGGTCATGTTAATTTCCATGAAAAAAAGGTTGCAGAGAAAACACTTCTGAAATAGTCGTAATGTACCTTACAAAGTCCTAATAGTAAATGCTGTATGCCTTCATCATGTGTTGATGTGTAATTTCTATAAGTCTGATCACAGGTGGAACAGTGTAATATACTTTTATCTGAGAATATCTTTACTGAATAATTAAGATAATGTAGAAGAGCAGTAAAATTCTGCTAAAACATTGAACATTTATCAGGTAATTGAATCATCCATCTCTCTCCCAGGGATATAGTACTGACTATAGCAGGCCGCTCAGTGGGAACTCCAAGCTTTCAGTTTTAAGAAATTGTTTAGAAAATTGGTTTGTGATTTTTTGAGAATTCTTGAACATTTAGGGAAATCAGTTGCTATGGCAACATATCTATCGCACCTCAATACCAATTACCCAGGTGATGAGTTATGGGGTTTGTGTATCATTCAACCATTCATTGTTCAGAATTTGTTGGATGATGTCTCCATAGCAACAGGTTTAAGAAAAAAAAACAGACAAAATTTTATCCAGTGTCAGTGCTGGTAATGCACTTGTTTTGGTTTCAGGAATGGAATTAAAATGGGCATTTATAAGTCTTCTTCATTGCAACTTTCCATGGTTACAGCTGTCACAAGTGCATAAAATCAGACTTGTTACTATTAAAGACTTGACGATAATGAATTCTTGCTGCCTAAAAAAGTAATTGAGTCAGGTTTTGTTACTAAATATACATTAAATCAGAAAAAATCGCAATTAGATGTTGTAAATTACTGACGTATTATAATTTTTGGCTTTTTCATGCATATACATGGTTACTAATTATGATTTCACTAAAACCAAAAAAAAAAAAAAAAAAAAAATCAATCACAATAGTTACTTGTGGGGAAAAAATGTACATTTCAATTTTAACGGAAAAAAAGGCCATATCCTTTCTTAATGTCATGCTGGTGACGTTTGTGTAAAATTAACAGTAATTATGCAAAGGTCATAAATCGAGAAAGAAAAAAAAAGCAGTCAACTAATTATTCAGTTTTATCCAATGCCCCTTAGTGACTGAATCACATTGCCTGGATTTCTCTTTGCATGTTTTTAAAGTCAAGCATTGATTTAATTATTTTTCTCTCCGAAAAATGTGGCAATTTTCGAGAATGTTGGGGAAGCATTTATTTCTGATAACAGCGATTTTAGGCAGGCGTTTTGCAGGCAATAAAACGTTATTTAGAAATGAAATTGAAGATAAGGGCTCCAATTTATAATAGACTATCACTGTGCCGCTCTGCCATAATAGACTATATTGCCCTGCCGCTGCTACAACACTAAAGTGCAGGAAAATTATAGCAAAAAAAACACAAAAGTGGTGAATAGGTCACTATTATAATGTCACAGATTATTGAAGTCCAAGGCAATGTCATTATAGCATTTTTTTCAGCTGAAGGTACAAGATATAATTATAATTAATTAAGTTGAATTTTAAAGTCAAAATATTTTAAAAGATTTGGGGATCAGAAAAGTGATATTTTAATAGAGATTTCAAAAAATGTGCCTGTAAAGGTTGCAATGAAATAAGAAGGGAATTAAGTTAGAGAGAGAGAGAGAGAGAGAGAGAGAGAGAGAGAGAGAGAGAGAGAGAGAGAGAGAGAGAGAGAGGACAGCTGAGAGAGAGAGAGAGAGAGAGAGAGAGAGAGAGAGAGAGGAGAGCTGAGGGAGAGAGACTGGATAGCTGAGGGAGAGAGACTGGATAGCTGAGAGAGAGAGATTGGAAAGCTGAGAGAGAGAGAGAAATCTAACAGAGAACTTGAGAAAGTACTTTAGCTGATATAATGGAGGTGATTTTAAGATCAGAGGGAGTCAGCTGAGAGGATGAGATGACTGGAAATTGACTGGTATTAATAGCAGGTTCTGTTAGTGAAACACAGCGGGAGTCTTTAACACATCTGGTAGAGAAGGGAGAGAGATGGGCTGCCTACCAGTGTTTAAAGATTTGGCAGCCCTCACGGCTACCATTACTCCATTGTTTATGTGAGGGGAGATTTATGACCTGTACAATATTTACATTGTAGTAAATTGATTTCTGTACTGTCTGTATATAGAAAGTGGGAGGAGTGGGCGGGGGGGGGGGGGGGGGGGTAAGTGGGGGGGGGGTGGAGAGAGAGAGAGAGAGAATCTGCACATTTTCAGTGTATGTGACAAATTAAAATACACATGCATCAACTTTCAGATCTAATTCATTACACTAGCACATGATTTAAGACTCAATCCTTGTTAATTGTTACATAAAAAATAGATGATGAGTTTTAACTTAAATATAATAAATGAAATTATCAAGAAACTTTGTGTTACCGAGCTAGAGCTTTCCTGCATGGAATTTTAAAAATTAAAAAAAAGTATCCCCCCCCCCCCCAACACACACAAGTTGGGGAATTGGGAGAATCTTTCTACATTTAAGGTTAAATGCTATGTTGAATTGTAATTGATAGTAAAGCAAGAGTATTCAGAACATGAAAAAACAGTGATTATAACACCGCTAGCTTTGGTATGTCGACAGCTTACCTGTCACTACAATAATTCTTTTCCAATGTTGATCTTTTGTTTTATTATCAGAACGAAAGGTTAAGATCATGTTTCGATGACAAGTTTACAATGCTAAGGGCTGCCAAAATTATTCAGGTGACAGTCTGCCTTGAAATTCACAAGTAACAATTAAACTTCTGACATGTTTATAATTCTGTATGATAAATCTGTCTAATTCAATAATGTCACACGATATATTGGAAAAGCAGAATATTTTCTTCAAGTTATAAATTATGAATTCCAGAGTTATTCCCCTTGATTGGAGGCATGGATGTCGCTAAATTTTGGCAAAGATGGCCAAAAAGATGACTGAACATCTAGGGAACATATTTTTTTTAAAATAGGAAAAAGTAAAAATAGTCATAATTGATTAAATATTTTAATCTAGGTTGAAGATAGTTAAGGTTAGAATTTTTAAGAGTGACTATTTGTGTTGCCCTGCAGAGCAGAGCGACAGGGGTCACTTTACCCCAGCATCTCTCTGTCTGTCCATCTGTCTGTTCATTCATCTGTCCATCTGTCACACCCTATATCTTGAGAACTGTAAAAGATATGGATTTGATATTTTGCACATATGTTGCTTCCTGGCACTTTGGCTTTTGTAGAATACCATGGTTGCCAACCTCATGACCTTTGAACTTGACCAACTTTTCAAATAGTTAATTGTGCCAATATACAGCATATTTTTGACATTTAAGGGGTTATACAGTTTAATTTTTTTTAAACAGCTGACCACCGCTGGAAACCAGAGAGAGCAAATGGAGCACCTGCTGGACGTGTCCAAGAGTTGCCATGGAGATCAGGTATTGTACAGTAGCTTTTATCCCTTTTAATTCTCCTATGGATGATACTGAAGGGGACTATAGGTTTCCTCTCTGTGTGTCTCCCCTTCTGTCCGTCAGTCTGTCCCACTTGGTTTTTTGGAACTTTTTCCAGACACACAGAAACTGTGCTGAATTTTGTTATATCTGAGTCTACTTTGATTAGTATTAAGTTTGCAATAATTCCCCTCTGCTTCCATGAATTTTGTTGGATTTACGGGCTTTTGACTTGGAGCCTTAATTTTTACCGAGACCAGACTAGGTAGGGGACTAGTGTTGCTTATGAAATACTCTCAGAATATTTGTTAACATATGGCATGATACACATGATACACTGTTGTTAATTCTCCTCTCTGAGTTGAGGACACATCATACTGGACTAAACAACTCGAGCCATCTCACTGAGATTAATCTTCTTGTGAAAATCTAAAAAAAAAAAACCAAAAAACCAAGAAGCCATTAATATCCTTCAAAGACATTTCTCTTAACATTGACCATACTGAAAGATACACATGAGATTTAGTAATTACAAGAATTGAAGAATAACAAACTCCATAATAGAAACTGTTACAGATTAGGAGTTTCAATGAGGTTAAATTGAGAATTTGGGATTTTGAAGTATGAAGGAATCTTGTGTTTTCTTGAAGTATGTCGTTTTCATGTATAATGTCATTATAATTGATATATAAGAACATTAACTAGTCTTTGGGGGTAATTTCTTCTGAATTTGATTTACTCTGGCATGTTTAGCTTATTACTGAAAATTGTTCCTCCCAAAAAGAGAATTTGTCAATTTTTGATTAAATTAGGTTTGGCAGGAAGGTTCCGAGTTCTTTGTTGTTTTTAGACCTAATCGAGTTTACACTTTGTTTAGTTGATTGTTGAGGATGAGCCGTTTTGGAATTGCAGGCTGTGTAAAAGACATATTACATTATCATAATTACATTAAATTATTGTGATTACATTGTATGGTGAGTAATTACTTTTATTGCATTAAATTACATTATAAATAGCCATTAGCCACATATTATCCTTCTGAACTGACTTTTATCTCAGTTGATTTATCATTTAATGATTTTATACAAAACACAAGTTTTGTTATTTTAGATTTAAAGCAATTATGCTCTCTCAGAAAATTTCATACATCAAGAGGAGGCAATTTTTTGAGAGTGAAATTTTCCAAAATGTACAGACAGTAAACACAGTGATAATATAGGCCTACCATTTGTGTGGGTGGTCATTAGACAGTAAACACAATGATAATATAGGCCTACCGTTTGTGTGGGTGGTTATTAGACAGTAAACACAATGATAATATAGGCCTTCCATTTGTGTGGGTGGTTATTAGACAGTAAACACAGTGATAATATTGGCCTACAATTTGTGGGTGTGGTTATTAGACAGTAAACACAGTGATAATATAGGCCTACCATTTGTATGGGTGGTTATTAGACAGTAAACACAGTGAAAATATAGGCCTACCATTTGTGTGGGTGGTTATTAGATGGTAAACACAATAATAATATAGGCCTACAATTTGTGTGTGTGGTAATTAGTAAACACTGATAATATAGGCCTACCATTTGTGTGGGTGATTATAAGTAAACTTCGAGATATTGAGGGTAAAATACTTACTAAAAATAAAAAGAGCTTGGGACTTTCAAATCACTTTGACATATCTATGGTATTGGAGATATTTGTTTTCAAGATATCGAAGTTCAGCTGTATATATATGTCTAGTGGAAGCAGCTCACATTGCTGGCAAGCTTATTCAGACTTTACTGTAGCTCATGGAAAGTATTTAAAAATATATCTTAAAGTGAATGATAATGTTGCCACCATAATGCTGTATTTGTAACAAAGTACTATTGTTACATGTACTTATAGGATTGAAGACTTGGGGACATGTGTTGAGCCACCTTAATATGTACCTACAATATAATGTGTGTTACACGAGCGCCCTTAGTGTGTGTTGAGCCACCTTAATATGTACTTACAATATAATATGTGTTACATGAGCACCCTTAGTGTGTGTTGAGCCACCTTAATATGTACCCACAATATAATGTGTGTTACATGAGCGCCCATAGTGTGTGTTGAGCCATCTTAATTTGTACCTACAATATAATGTGTGTTACAGGAGCACCCTTAGTGTGTGTTGAGCCACCTTAATATGTACCTACAATATAATGTGTGTTGATCCACCTTAATATGTACCTACAATATAATGTGTGTTACACGAGCGCCCTTAGTGTGTACTTTTAAGTCTGTTTATCTTGCAGTAGAACATTGCCTTGTCTTGTATTTAAGTGTGTATGGATGATTGGAAATGTCTCGGATCACTTCATTGAGGAGAAAACCCAGTGTAAAGAATGGGGCTGTTTGTTAGTTAAGCATGTGAAGTTAATTCTTGGTTTTTTTTATTTTGTTGTTTGACCTTGGCTTGATTTTATTGACCAACCAGGAATGAATCATGGAGAACATTGCATTATACTTGTTTGCTTGCTATTAAAGTCACAGTCTTTTTATTTAAATAAACTTGTGGAGAGAAAAATATTGACCAGTTGACAAAGTGCTGAGCATTAAGTTTTAGCTTAAGGTGCTGTGCTTTATAGACCAATGTTTCTGAGAAAGTCTTAATTTTTTTTATCAAGGTCATTGAAAATGGGAGTTCCCCCGCCCAAATCCAAACTTTTTCTTGATGTCTGTATTAAAATATTGGGGATGGGGGTGGGTGGGGGGTTGAAAACTTGTTCTTGCATTAAGGTTCTTCGAATAATCTTTGATAAATTTCTTCCTGTATGTACATGCACAGTTCATTTTAATTGGTCACTAAAATACTACAATACTAGCATGATTTTATTGTATCATTTTAGTTTTGTCATCTGTTGATAACAGTAATTGTAAATTTTTCTAAAATATGGATTCAGTTTTGAGGACTTCTGACCTGATGTCTCATTTTATTTTTCCACATTTGTGGAGCTATAGCTTTAGTTCGGTTCAATATTTTTTTTGCATGCATTGTTTTTCCGTCTTAAAGCCCCAGGTAGTACATGTATATTAAGTATCGATTGCTAAGGAATTAGGCGGGAATTTAACTCCACTGGTAGACAGGTGAATACAGCTTCATTTATTTTCCTGGAAAATCAATAGGCTTTTGGCCTCTTTACCTTGTTGGTAATCCATCAGTGTGTATCCCTGTCTGACTCTAAACTAAGAGGGAATTCCAGAGGCTGCTTTGTTGTGTGTGCTTCATTTGAGTCATTTAGGGTGAAACACCAACATATAGTACTTTGACCTCATTGACCTATCATAGCTATTGATGGCTAATGGACAGTTTGAGTACAGTCAAGACATTTGGACTAAGTGATCATGTAACTGAACATTTAATGATGATATTTAAACATTATGAAAAGAGATTTTATTTGTAAAAAAAGGAATTATCTCCCCTGAATTAAATTTTCATACAGGTAGATTAGTTAAGTGTACAATGAATTGTCTCCCTTTAATGCTCTCTTAAACACTTTCTGTAGACTTCTCTTCCTTTTCTGGAAGAAAATAATCCTCATCAAGACATTATTAAACAGTGGAGTGAATGATCTTCCCCTTCTTCACATTTAAATTAAATTGACTACCACATACACTGTGTACATAGAGGAGATTCAACTAAGATTGATTACAAACTGCCCGAGTCTGACACTCTGTTTGTTTGTGAGATGGATGGCAGTTGTTTTTTTTTTCTTCGTTGAATGAAGATGTTTCTTCAATTGATTAAATTAGCATAGTACATGTTAAATTTAATTTACAAGTCCATCAATTATTTTTATCTTGCACAAGTTTGGCATTCTCTTTTTCCAGATTTGAATAACTGAAAATCTTTGGGGGTCAATTTTTGAAAAAAAAAAAAAATAAATAAAAGTTAAGAATTTAATGTTTAGAATTCCGAAAACCTCAACATATTGGAAATAGATTTATGCCCCTTTGCTCTGCTTGTTGTGTTAGGATTATGTCCCTTTGCTCTGCTTGTTGTGTTAGGATTATACCCTTTTGCTCTGCCTTTTGTGTTAGGATTATGTCCCTTTGCTCTGCCTGTTGTGTTAGGATTATGCCCCTTTGCTCTGCTTGTTGTGTTAGGATTATGCCCCTTTGCTCTGCCTGTTGTGTTAGGATTATACCCTTTTGCTCTGCCTTTTGTGTTAGGATTATGTCCCTTTGCTCTGCCTGTTATATTAGGATTATCCTTTTGGTTGATACCATTTTATTATGTCATTCCTTTATTGGGAAAACTTTACATACATTTTTAATTACCGTGCGTTTATTTATTGAATGTTTAGGTGGCTATGTATGAATGAAAAGAATTCAAAGCCTTATTCTTTCTGGGCAAAAAATTATTATTCCAGAGAACTAAAGCAACTTAACTGTCAAATACCAGTATTATGTTTCAGACCTCATGTCACAAAACACAGTGTATGCTTTCCTATGAGGTAAAAAATTATGTCATTGACAAGCAATTAGAAATATGTGCCAATATTTCTTTTTGATACTTTTTTGGGGTGGATATTTTCTTACATGAATGACACATAATGAATTGGCATTTACAAGCTGTCAGAAATTTAAATTCCAGTTAGTGATTTTTTTTAAAAACATTATAAGCTTTAATTATTACAGTGGCACCCTCAAGTATTGCCATTTTTAGACTTTAATCAACCTTCTCTCAAAGAAGAGGTGACTAAAAAAAAAAAAGGTCTGTTTTTGCATGGAATAAATTGTGCATTATATTTTTATCATACTCGTAAAATTTTACAATATTATGATAAAAAAATATTGCTCCATTCCCTATATTCAAAATAGTATTACAATTTTTGTGAGATTAAATTGAAATATCAGTGCTGGAGTCTTTATATGTGTTATAGATGAGCTAGTATATGCTGGAATTTCTATATTATCAGCCAACCTTGACGGAGGAATTTGACAATATGATGGATGATGCCTAATTCTGTACAGAAGCCTTTTATCTTGTCCTACAGAGACAGTTGGGGGGAAGAAACAGGGGGATAATCATCTCTGTCAGGTCTGAGAAATTACACAGCCGCCCTGTCAGCTGGGGGTGCAGTATGGACCATTCATCATGTATTGTCAGAATCGCATAGACTTGACCAGTCTAGGCCACTATGACTAGATACATAACTCTTAAATATTCCATTGATCATGTTGATGTTTTTTTTTTCATAATGTGATGTAGAACTAGCTGTTCAGTTTGTGTTAAATTATGCAACTCTGAATCAGAGGTTGTTATGGAGAAGATATAAATGCCAAATTCTTGATTTTTCTAAGCATGTAAAATTGTTCTCCATCAACATCCTTTTATGATGATACCTATGGCCACACTTTCTTGACTTTTAGCTGTCTGCCTCCCATTTTTTCTGAACCCTCATCCACAGTTTTCTCCCCTGAGACTCTCCTCCCCCTCATTCTTTCCTTTGGTAAGCCATGCTATCTCCCCTCTCCTCTCCACCCCCAGCCCCACTTCCCCTTCATTCTTTCCTTTGTAAGACTTGTTATCTCCCACATCCAAAGGCTTCTTCCCTTGGTAAGCCTTGTCCTCTTCCCCTAAGACTCCCTTCCCCCTCATTCTTTCCTTGGTAAGCCTTGCTGTCTCCCCCTCCCCATCCCCTTCCTCCTCATTCTTCCCTTGGTTCGCCTTGCTCTTTTTTCCCCTATGGCCTAACCATCCTTAGGCCTCATGGCCTTGCTATCTGCCAAGGTCCACTTCCCCCTAATTCTTTCCTTGGTAAGCCCCCCCCCCCCCCCAGGCCTTCCTCTCACTCATTTAACCCTCCTTGAACCTGAACAGTCTTTACTATTTCCTTCACCCTGTCCCCATCTTTCTTTGTTATGAAATGTTTAATCTACAGAAGCTACTGACTGCACCCTGTGTTTTCTTGCTGAGCAGACCTGCCCCTCATTTAAACTCGTCTTTGTGCTAGACCAGATCTTTTCTCAGTCCCATGCAGAAGTTAATCACTGGAATCTGATAATTTTGGGATGGGAAGCTCTGATGATTATTTCCCATGACAGAGCATGCTGGGAGATTAAATGAACAGCTTTAGAAATGGTCCATGATGAATAGTCCTTTGAGATCAGCATTTTTTCCCTGACTGATGTAAAAACCCAAAATATTTTGTAAATTAATGGTGAAGTCTTGTCACTTTTTAGATATGGTTGTTGGTAGTCAGTCAGTGTTTTATCTTTTGGTGGTGTGTTTTGTGATGGTGGCCATGGAAATATTATTATTTAGAAGTTCCCCATTTTTATCTGCATTGTGGTTGACAGTTAGTAGATTGTAATGAGTAATAAGTACATTTACTTATCTTTTATAGAGTCCCCTAGAGAGAGAGAGGCTCCATGTATGTTCTGCAGAGCTGTCCTCCAGAAATTAATATCTCTTGTCTCATTAATGTCATTTTATGCATTTTGTGATTTAAGTGTTTCCTGTTAAAAGAAAACCAACAAAAAATCTATGCCATATTTATTTGTCTGGTTCCATCAGAAATGAAAAATGAAGACATTTTTTATGATAAAAAAAGTGATAATTAATGAACTACAGAAGCTTAAAAGCCTTGGTTTCTTGTTAAAGAGAGTGACCAAGAAACTTTTTCCTTTAGAATTCAAATTTAAAAAAATCAGCCAATCATATTGATTCCCCAAGAATTATCTATTCTCCAACCATTCATATTGATTCTCCAATGATTCAGAGTGATTCTTTGACTGATTATATAACTAAGTTATTTACTAATTAAAAAAAGATTTTCAACCAAATATATTGATTCTGCAACTATTCATATTGATTCTCCTTCTAATCATATAGATTCTTCAACCAATCATATTGATTTCCCAGAGCCATGCATCCATATTGATTCTTCAGCCAATCATATTGACTCTTCAACCAATCATGCAGATTCTCCAACCAATCATTTTGATTCTTCATTCATTAATAATTTTATATAGATTTCCAGCCAATCATATTGATTCTGCTACACCTCATATCAATTCTACAACCAATCATATTGATTCTCTATCCAACTGTATTGATCCTCTCATTTATTGTTTGTGTGCAATTTTAAGAGAGATCTTTTATATAACTATATCAGTCATATTTTGTAGTTCATCAAATGCTCTTTTTTTTTTTTTTTTTTTTTAAATAAATTTTTCACTTTAAAACTCCACAGACAATTTATATATCTCTGATATGATACACAATCAGTTCAGTTTTCATTCATGACACTAATGTATTTTTAATCTAATATTAACTCAATGCACTTCCCTGAATCTTTCATAATTTTCAGACATGCAGTGTTTATATTTTTCATAAACTTGATAAATTGAGTACCCTCCCTTTCTAGGGGACTGAAGTTTAAAGACTAGTATCTTTTTTGCATGTTTTTTAGCATGCAGAGTCTTGCTTCTTCTGTGGGAGTGACAATATATCTCAGTGCAGGTGAGATGGAATCTTATTTCAAGACCCACACTACATTGTGCAGCTTCATAGTGAAATATGTGCATGATTAATTCACAATTTATTGTGAACAGGGCAAGAGAGGGTGTGCAAATAGTTGTAAGGGGAGAATGGCCCATTAAAAATATAACCTAATAATGCAGGGGCAAATGAAATATAATATGCTGGAAAGTAAAATTGAAAGAAAATTTTTGGAATATCAGGTTTTCATCTTGAGTTGGCAGATTGGGATGAGGTGTCAGGTTATGAATAGTTGACAAGGAACAAAGTGTTGTTTTTTTTGGAATGTCACTGGAGCGTTTGACTGACACTGGATACAGCCAGCTACTGTAAAGCTTATCAGTGACATCTGTGTATTTGTGATTGCTTTTACCTCCCTTGTAAAAAAAAAAAACAAACAACGAAATAAGGGTTTTTAAAAGAGTTCTAAAAATCTTAACATGATTATGCTTCCAATTTTTGAAACTGTAGAAATTGCTTAATTTCAGAATGTAAAATGTGTTAACACAGTCATATAGTCTGAAATAATGTCTCATTAAAACTGTATAGTGCAATATTACATACAGTATACATTACATACTCTAAGTTATACATAAATTTAATGAATTACTGTTCTTTTTCTTTGTAGATTGAGTTCTGGCAGTGTGTCAATCAAACAGTACAAGGTAGGTATAACCTATAAATGAAGGAGGAAATCAGGGGTGGACCCAGGGGGGGGGGTCTAGACCCCCACATTTTGCAGAGAAAATTAAACATTTATGAGAGATCAACAAAAAAATACTTAAAAATGACCTTGGAACCTAACCCAATCCCAGCTGCAAGGTCCTTTGGAAAAACAGGCCCATTTTAAGTTATTAATGAAATGCATCTAGGAATTATAGCAAAGTATTACTTGGCAAACAAGTAGACTACACTGTGATACATAATTCTTATATCGGTTTTTGATTTCAAGACTAAACCAAGGATCATTATTATAATTTATTGCTTTTGCATAGTGTCAAGTCCAAGTGCTACTTTTCTATGCATGATCTCTTCCTTTTTGAAAAGTGCCAGTGGAGCTACATTCTTCTCAGAGACTTCTGGTTTTATGTTTGTTTGTTTTTTAAATTGAGGAATTCTGAGTCATGATGAAATCCTTTTTCCAATATAAAAAATCTCCCTGCAGTAAGCTTTTTTATGATTTGACATCTGTATAGGTAACATTCAGAGATCAATAGCCATATTGAAGATTTTGTTTGCTTCAAAATATGCCAGATAATGGCTGATTAAAAGAAATTATAAAGTCGTCACTTACAGCCCAATTAGAGTGACATTTCTAATGAGCAAAGATAATATCAAAATTTTATTCTTTGATATTTTTCCTCCCCATTTCATTTATAAAATGAATTGTGACTAAGCACATAGGTCAGATGAGAGATTGACGCATAAGATTTGGGATATTTTCTTGTGAGTCGAACAAAAAAATGCCTTTTGGTGAGATTTGAGGCTTATGTAATACTTAATCCAGGCTGAAAACTGAACAGAAAAACCAATGTGTGGTTGTCAGTCAAACCAAGAGTTAAGTAGGCTATGTTTGGCAATCATTACATCAAACATACAGGTGAGCCAGATGAGGTCAGGGTTCAATAGCTTTTCTGTTAAAGGAGTACAGAATAGTCCAAATTAGGAACATTTAGGATAGAAGAATATAGTCCTCAATTTTTAAGCTCTTGTTAAAAGGCAAAAGATAAGAATGAATCTTGAAATAATCATTTAAAATCTGTGACATTTGATTTTATATGAAATGACACCAAATAATATGTCATATATTCAGCATTTAAATTCCTTTTATGAAAAGTTTTAAATTACCAAGAGAATTAGTTTTAAATGCTGCCCGAAAGAAATTTATATCTGTGACTGGGTTTAGGTAAATTTATTCATTTCCAAGCTTAACTTATAAACATATATCATACAATTTTTTATTTTCCTGACTATATTTATAATTATTAAATGTTATGTCTATATTTGGCTGCAATATAAGAAAAATTGTGAATTTTATGAACAGAAAAAAGTAACTGGTCAGAGACAAAGAAAATACTTTTTGAATGGCTCTTTTTATAAAGATAAATAGTATCTTTAAAAATGTTTTCCTAACAGGTGAGGAATTCAACTTCCTTGAAATTATTGTTTAAATCTTCATACAGAGTTGTTGGTGGGAGCAAATAAAACACACACATTCTCTTCTTTCAGTGGTCTTCTTTTATTGAATGTTTCTTCCATTGAAGTATTGGCATCCATTTCAGATAATATTGTGGTCAGCTGCATGTACAGTCCCTGAAACGTTCTACTTTCCCATTTTTCCATTCGCTCACCGTTCGTTCAGCGTGCGTTCACCGTTCGTTCACCGTGCGTTCACCGTTCGCTCTCCGTTCACAGTTTTGCGTTCAGCGTTCACCGTTCACAAAGTGTTCAGCATTCGCTCTTCATTCGTTCACGTTGCGTTCAGCGTTCACTTATCGTTCAGTCTTTATTGTCATTCGGAACTCCGAAGTGAAAAGACTTATCTTTTTTAAGTAAGGATTTACAGGTTTTGAATTTAATAATTAACATATCGTGTTTAAAGAATCATTATTTCATGGGAAAAAAATTATCTACAATATTTATTTTTATTATCCTTACTTAGCTCTAAGGTTATTTATTAAATTTATCTGGAAAATAAATGTTGTTATAAATACATGTACAGTGTATGTACCTATGTAGAAAGATGCTGAAAAATTTAATTTAATTTTAATTATATTATTGCATCAAAATTTTAAAATACTAGTTTATTTATGCAATAAACGTCCACATACCTTTGTAAAATATTTTTTTTTCTCATTATTTTACACGGAAATATATGTATGGTTGTTACAACCGTTGCAATTCATTCTATAAGTCCGTAGTTTTCTCTTCTAAAATCCACATTATTTGTAATGGTTTTATTTATCAAATAAGAATAAACATATTTATTTTACAGCTAGATTAATTTTAACTTTCATACTACAGCGTTCGGTAACAATTACAATGTTTTACAGCGATAAAAATCGTGTTATTAAAAGTTGAATTTAAACATGGTACATATGTGCAGAAAATATTGTAAGCAACTTAAATTAAAAATTTTGCTTAATGTGCATGTATCCTCTTTCTTAGGACAATTTCCATTGATTTGTTTATTTATTCATTATTTATTTTTTAGCACCAGGCATTAGAATACAATAGAATAGTTTCAATGCAAGGAAAAGATCAGAGGCATTCCGAATAAATCGTTCATCTTGCGTTCACCGTTCACTTTGTGCTCGCGTTCGCGCTCCGTTCGCGTTCTGCGTTCGCTCACCGTTCACACTTCGTTCACCAAGTTGCGTTCAGCGTTCACACATCGTTCACTCACCGTTCGCTCTGCGTTCGTTCAGCGTTCGTTCACCGTTCGCTCACCGTTCAAGTGGGAAAGTAGAACGTTTCAGGGACTGTATATCATATGTTAAAAAAAAAAAAAAAATTATAAAAAGAAATGCCTTTCATTGGGAGTTGGTGTCAAAGAGGGGGGTGGGTGGGATGGGGGGAGGGGGGCAGAATCCCCTTCTTCACCCACATTATTCCCCAATTGTTGGCCTCCTTTATTCGTTGCCCTAAGAGAGCCGTAAAGCTAACCTGCCAATATTGGTCTTTGAGCTTAGTGTTGTTGAGGGGTTTCTACTGTTTTGTTTGTTTATGTTCTTTCTGCATAATTGTTTGTGTCATCCTCTGCCATTCACTAAGCCTTAGTTTATAGTTTGACTTTGTACTTTAAAAATGATTCTAAAGATTTCAGATTTGGAAGTCTGGTCATGAATACTGGGTGCATTAAGATCAGATAAAGCAGCTTTTCTGTTCTAAACTCTAAGCCTTTCTTTCCTCTTGACTGGTATTAGAAGGAAGAGGCAAAATGAATTGTCTACTTTCACCTCTTGCAGAATTGTTAATTGTTCATTAACAGATAATTAAGGGTTTCCTATAATTCATATCATGGATCAGATGACATTACATTTTCATTATAGACCTAACGTGATCAAACAGAAATAGATTGCATAAGAATATATAATTTTGTTCAATTTATATTTAAATAGCCCATTTAAAGATCACCAGCATGCTTATGTCTAATTTATTTTTTGGTGTAAAATGTTAGGTTTTTGCAATTTTCTGTATGAAATCCAGTTCCTGTAAAATCACATATTTTTGAGGGTCAAATTTTGGCGATTTGAGGGGAAAAAATGGTCTGTGGGGATTAGGTGTTTTGATTGAAAGAGTGTTGTCTTGTGATACATATGAAACTTTACATGGAAGACATGAATTTGTGGGTCTCTTCATAAATGAAAACAACGAAAATTAAACCTCCACATAAATTAGTGATTTCACAGTGTTTCATTCAGATTGGCTGCAGCAGCCTTGTGCAGTTATAGGTTCAGGTGTATGATCAGCCGCTATCATCCTTGTAGAGCATTTTTCATTTAATAAAATATGTGTCTAAAGAAAGTAAATCAATATTTACCAGTCACAGGCTAACAAGCAATGATTCTGAAACTGTCAAATGAAAGAAAAAAAATAAAAATGTTCTTTACCTGAGGAATGTTATGCTTTAACAATGGCTGATGTAAACATATATTGATAAAATCTTCATTTAAAGAAAAAATGGATTATATTATTAAAATATTGGATTAAATGAATTTGCACAGTTTCAATACAAGTCAATCATTGTGACAACTTTGTGACAGGTGTCAGGAAAAAAGTTTGTTGTGAACTAAAAGGAACTGTCAAACCATGTAGACCAAAAAAAAATTATTGTCATTTAAATTCTTTTACTTTGTAAAATGAACCCTGACACTGGTTAAATGTGAAGGACCAAATCAATCAGAATGCTTTATTTATATAGTGAGCTGCAGTCCTATGAACCACAGAGAAATTCATAATGTCAGTCCTATAGGAGCACATCTTCATCATCCATAAACCTTACATTACAAACTTATTCCTATGGACTGTCTCAGTCCTGCAGACCTATATCACTCCAGTAGGACTTTAATTAAATATAAAGTCTTGTATAGGTTTGACAGTCAGGTCCTACAGCTCTGCTCCTGTAGGACTGCCTCAATCCTACACACCTACATCACTCCAGTAGGACTTTAAGCTATAAAGTCTTGTACAAGTTAGACAGGTCAGTCCTACAGCTCTGCTCCTGTGGGACTGTCTCAATCCTGCAGACCTACATCACTCTAGGAAGACTTTAAATATAAAGTCTTTAACAGGTTAGAAAGGTCAGTCCTACAGCTCTGCTCTTATAAGACTGCCTCAATCCTGCAGACCTACTTTCCTCCAGGAAGACTTTAAGTATAAAGTCTTGTATAGGTTGGACAGTTATTTTAGGTCCTACAGCTCTGCTCCTGTAGAACTGTCTCAATCCTGCACACCTACTTTACTCCAGTAGGACTTTAGGTATAAAGTCTTGTATAGGTTGGACAGTCCTACAGCTTTGATCCTATATGATTTCTTCTACTCCTTTCTGTAAGGAGCTGTTTTGCTGAAACAGCTTTCTCTCAAACTGAATATACATGTAGGACAGCCATATTCCTTAAAAAGCTACCTTATTTCTACAAGACACAAGTAAGTGTCTGTCAAACATAATTGATTAATTTCTTGCTTCTTACGAAATATTAAATCTGATCACTCTTATTGTTTTTCCATAGCAAAAATTTTTTTTAAGAAGTGAACATTGTAATAAACTGACTGAAATACATTTGAATAATTTGAATGGACGGGTTTAAAATTAAAATAAAAAAAATTGAAATGATTGCAGTAAAGCAGCACTTGCTCCCATTTTGTGTGTCAATCGTTATGATTTAGTCCAGTTAAGATTGTTAGTAACTACAGAAAATCAGCCTCTATTTTGTGTAATCATTGACAAAATCATTTAATCCAACAGAAGCGGAGGTGTGTTTATTATTTATTCAGAATTTCGGCTTTCTGTGCATGTTCAATCTTCAATGGACAGAATAGCCTTCTTCACCTCTTTACATCAGATAAAGGCTCGGAATGCCCCCTTCTGTATACAGTACCTGGATTACCTATAATGAGGGTATTTTACCGAGCTAATGATGCGTAGTTAGGGATAAAAGTCAGACTAACAACGCAGACCGCCCGACTTAAAAAGCCTGCATTCACCACTGCTGGGGTTTTAACAGATCTTCCGGGGATATGTCATCGGTTGTAAAAATAAGAGAATAAAGGGGGGTTGTATCGAAGCCTTGACGATTCATTATCAGCTATACAGATCACTGCACTTTGTAAAAAGGAACTCTGAAAATGATTGACAGGGAGAGAGAATGGAAGGGAATGATTGACAAGGCAAGAGTTAAAATGAAGTTGGAGGGAAAAAAAGGCATGGGGGGAAAAATCAAAGGGGCGATGGTGTAAACTGATGTGGAAATAAAACGCTTTGTAAGGGTCGGTCTGACGCTTCTAGGTTTGTTGGAAGTTCAGGTACAAAGGAATGAGGCGGGGGATCATTGATGCTGCACTTGTGATTTTGACAAGGGGAGGAGGTTTGAGGTCGGGGGTTACTGCTAACTGACACCTGTGTGTCAAATTGTTATCTTGTTAATTCCAGGGGGAGGTAATTATATCAGCCTGCAGTAAATTTTTTGTTTATCATCAGATCATGATGTGTTTAGATTTTTTTTTTCATTTGGAAGATGATTAGTGTACGCAGAAAGATGCTTTCTCAGAATATTTTTTGGATTTTTGCTTATCATAAATGTACCTTTAAGCCACATTTCAGGTTGTGCACAATCCATCAATCAAGGCTGTCAATTCAAGAGTTATTATATTTTATGTCAGTTCTAAATACAAAACAAAATCCTTTGTTTACTTCTCTAATTATAAACATGGAAATATTTTTGTGGGAGAAATTTTTGCAAAGTTTGTGATGAGTAAAGTTTTGCAGAATTTATTACCATGCGAAAGGTTTTAACAAAGGACCATACTAAATAATAAACCAAATTATCTTGCAGTTCCCTTCTTTCTGTAAAATTAAACCCCTAGTAAAAGCTTTGTTACATGAAAATCATAATAAGTTTTTACCCCTTGAAAATATCCCTGTTTCAGTATCTTCTAAGTGCCGTGGAGTCTTGTGGACAAAATTGGCAGTGTATTTTCTCAATGACAACTACCTCGGTTGATTATATCATAAAAGTATTCTGTGTAATGTTCGAACTGTCAGCAGTCAGTAAAATATTCAACCAGAACTATTCACCCTTCAAAATTTAGATCTCCACAAGCACATCAAATTAATTCTAATCACCAATAATCACACAGTCATTTTACTTTATAAAAAACTTCTGTGTTTTTTTGAGTTACCCGAGAATCTTTGGATTCTACTCTTTATGATAATTTAAGCCATTTAATGATTTTTTTTTTCAGTTGTCCACTCATTGGCGGTGTGGTCCGGACGACCTTGCTGTGACCTTGCCAAAAATCGTGTATGTGAACAGGCCTGCAGAGAAGTAAGTAAATTCATAGAAAAATAGAAAAATCATAGAAAATAAAATCGTAGAAGGAATTTCTTATGAATATTTCAATACTTCATTGAGTTGCAACACGCACTCACATTAATCTCAAAGAAACTGTGTTTTTGCAATTAGAACACAGATATTTTAATTTTCAGGAATTTTGATGAATTTTCAAGATTTTTAGATACTAAACAAAATTGATTACTTAAAAAAGAGAAGACTGAATTTAAAAAAAAATGTGTGGTAAAAAAAATTCATGTAAACTTTATAATAAAAACTCTTCTGTTTTAAGAGCATGCAAGAATCTTTCTACAAACAAGGTGGTCGTCTTCAGTTTTTGTGTAGTTTTTTACGACAGTTAATTGACGCTGAAGACAAACTCTAAGTAATTAAGACAGAGTAATGGATTTGTCAAACTGAGGCAGACATGAAGAATATTTCTCATTAGTTTTAAAAGGTTTTACCATTCCCTGGTTGTATTTTTGGAAAGTGATACAAAATAACTTCATTCTGCCCTGAAGAGTGTAATAGAGTGTGCATGAAGGGGTGGGGTAGGGAGGGGAGGTGGGGGTGACATAGAGAGAAGTCTTCAGGATTTTAGGAAAATGTAATTGAGGGGGGTTGGGGGGGGTGGGATGAAAATAAAGGGAAGTGTCATAAAAGATAAGAATCACAGTGTTGTCATGTTGGAATTATAGAGTCATAAAAAAATTAGTATGGGAAAGGGGAAAGAAAATGTTGGAGGGCCTTCAGAAAGTTTAAGCTAGGTAGTACAGTGATTTTATAAAAGAAGAAAGAAATCTGGAAGATGGTGCAAAACTGAAATACAGAGGTCGATCCAGCTTTTTTAAAGGGAGTGCTACAGGGACAATCCTAATTATTCCCCCACCATGAAATGTTCTGGACATATAATGTTATTACATATGCCATTCCATCTGTCATTCTGTTCCATCATAGTTTAAGTTTTCCAGATTTTTTTCCCACTCAAATTATATATTAGCAAAAATAGAGATGCAGTGAAAATAAGTTTACAGTTAACTTTAATAAAAGCTTAAGCTTTAATTTATTTAGAGGAGACAACGTAAATGTTCATGCTAAGATAATAGCTGGATTCAATAATATATTTTTCCGACAACCAACTGTAATGGAGTGCACGGTCATATATTATGCCTGCATCTCTACAGACGTACGTTCAATATCGATCTCCGGTGACTTCCTATAACACGAAGCTGGGAGAAAAAAATCATTCAAGTATTTTGTGGCATGTTTATTTTATCCAAAAAAAGGAAGAAAAAATACTCCTTTGCACTGAATGTCTACCTACCTGACACTTTAACAAGGCATGTATTGACAGGCAAAGATCTGAGTGCAATAAGGTCAAACTTGGCAGCTTAATCTAATCTCACTATCAGACAACAGATGCATTTTAATTAATGGTGATAGCAGGGGAAGAAAACGGTGTCGTAGGCAAAAAAAAAAAAAAAAAAAAAAAAAAATATAAATGTTATGTTCAGTGAAAGAAAACTCAAGAGGGGGTAGAATCAGAAAATTGAAGGGGGGGGGGGGGTAAAGGAGGGGGGAGGAAATGTGTGAAGTATGTTGATTGATTTATTTGATTACCACTCTTTCAAATTTAAAAATTAATGTTTGTATCAGGTCAATGTAGACAAATTTTGCCTTAATTTTCCCATTCTAGGTAAAAATTGAAAAGTATGACACAAATATTGAGTCTATTTACTGCTCTCAATTTTTAGAAAAAAAGGAATGATTTTCATCAAACTCTTCAAGTTATGTTTCATTTAATGACTATGCACTTTTAGTCCACTGATTCTAACATTTGCTAAAAGATAAGTTATTGAAACAGTTTGTGCAAAGTAGATAACTTTTGGGGGAAAAAATGCACAAAGTTCTCTTTGAAAAGAAGAAACCATTACCAACGTAGATTATTAATGACAGTTGGAAAAAAAAAATTGTTAACCCAAAAAATGAAATATTTGTCGGTTCAGAACACCCAGAGAATCTGTCTTAGGGAATTAAAGTCAGCCATTAAATACACTGGACGAGATGATTTTTGACAGAAAGCACTTACTATGCTCTTAGCCAATGACGTGGAGGGGCATAATTCACTGTAAATATGTGGAGAAATAAATTGTTCTTGTCAACAAGGAGAGGAAAATCGGAGGCTAAAAAGGGCCAGGCATATGAATTATATTGTGCAAAAAATTCGTTTTTTGTCGCCTATCTTTCAAGTTTGATTAACAAGATTTGTCAAGAGGTTCTAAGAAAATCAATTTTTGATTTTTTTTGGCTTGTGTTAAAGATATTGAAAAAAAATCTTGGAACTTTTTAGCAAGTTTTTGAAGAAGACATTGAAATGTTTTCTTTTTGTTTTTAATTAGTGAAATCGTTTAAAATATATATTTTTTAAAGCACTAAATATTTTTGGAATTTTCCACAGATTTCTCATGCATACATCTTCCTTCTGTGAGGTACTTAAATAAACATAAATATTTTTTTTACTCAAAACATTAAAAAAAGTTTGATGTATGTGTTAAACTCTCTCCTGTTCAGTGTATTAGACACATACCTTCTACTAAATGCCAATTCAATTTTTTTGGGCCACTAGTTAGTAAAAAAGAAATAAGGGTTTGTCTTTGTGTAGTATTTGTAATGCAGTGAAAGAGTTGTACTATATGCCCCAATAACCTTTAGATGGCAGCTAACCTCAAAATTCATCCACTGTAAGACAACTTGATGAATTAAGGTCTAGAAGGTCAGCTGGTGACCTCTGACCTTTACATATGAAAAGAAAAATTCTTTGTACTTTCCTGCATAATGAATTAATAAATCACTGACTGATGATATTAACATTAGCCAATCACTGACCGATAATATTAACATTATGCCATGTTCTTTGTTTCCTTTGTTGAGAGATGTGATCTATTCAATGTGGTGGGTGTTTTGGGGGTGGAAGCTAGATAAACAGTTTGCCACCCCCCCCCCCCCCCCCCCCCCCCCCACACACACACACGCACACACACACTCCCCATCATACTTAAAATTCTGCATTCTGTTTTAGATGCAATGATCTAGTTAAAATTTATGCTAGATTCCTTTCAATATTGAATGACCATATATTTGTAATTTGAAAATAAATTATCAAAGAAATATGAACATTTGCACTTTTGTTTTTAGTGTAAAATGTAATTTAATTTAATGTAAAGGAAATGTTTGTTTTGATTTTAAGGCTAAATCCCAAAGTGAAATTAAAAAGGCATGCATGGAGAGCTTAGAAACCCACCTCTATGAATGTGTCAAGAAACAAAGAGGTAAGGTCAAAGGTCAAGGTAAGGTCACAGGTCATGGAAGTAAGATAAGATAACAGGTCATAGAACCAAGTATTATACAATTTGTGATATATGGTTAAGAGTTAATGTGATTTAGAAAAGGTGTTATATGGTTAATAGCCCTCATTATATATTAAGGTGTGAGATGAGATTATTCCCTGTATAATTCTTGTTCTTTAGAGGGTGAGACTTGATAAATTCCTGTAAATGTCTTGTTTTATAGAGGATATAGATATAACAATATGGTTATAATTTACTTTTCTTTCACAGACATAGAGATATGCCTATAATTCCTGTAATTTTCTTTCACAGAGGGTGAGATATGCTGTAGCACTGACGAGGATTACAGCTGTCGTATTACTTGTCAGGGAACCTTCCTCGCTAATTATAACCGTAAAAATCAGCGCCACACCTTAAGAACTCAGTGTAGAAGCACCAACACCATAATGCAGTGTGTGATAAGTAATGTGGAGGATTTCAAAGTCATCAAACTCATTGATCGTAAGTTAACTTGGATTGTAACTGATCGTAAGTCGACTCAGATTGTAATTGATCATAAGTCGACTCAATGATTGTAACTGAGCACAAGTCAACTCAGATTGTAACTGACCATAAGTCAGCTCAGTGATTGTAACTGAGCACAAGTCAACTCAGATTGTAACTGACCATAAGTCAGCTCAGTGATTGTAACTGAGCACAAGTCAACTCAGATTGTAACTGACCATAAGTCAGCTCAGTGATTGTAACTGACCACAAGTCAACTCAGATTGTAACTGACCATAAGTCAGCTCAGTGATTGTAACTGAGCACAAGTTAACTCAGATTGTAACTGACCATAAGTCAGCTCAGTGATTGTAACTGATCAAGCTCTTTGATTGAAAGTCAGCTCAGTGAAAGTAATGTGTTTTAGGTCAGTTAACGTTCATTGATTGTAAATCAGTTGAATGATCATAACTCATCAAGGTCATAGATTGAGGATTGTAATTCATCATCAAGCTCATTTTTTGAAAGTTAGCTCAAAGTAAACTCATTAGATTCAGTGACACAGTGATATGAACTAATTAAAGAATGAGTTATCACTCAGCTATCAAACTCATTAGACTCAGTCATCATGAGCAAGCAAACCTGGACTTAAATCATGAAAATCAGCGATCTTGAGTCAGCAGTCACAAATATAAATCATTAAATACTTTTTTGAATATGTGTATAAGGTTATAACTGTATAAATGTTCTACCTTTCCTGATTTCATGTTAAAGGCTTTTAAATATAAAACTCAGCATCTGTGTTATGCCAGAAGTCAATATCTTAATGGATGTTACTCCGTAATAATGCAGGGATAGGTGGCTGTTCTACAGCCTTCTCAATGGTCAGCGTAAACAGTTTACATCCCCCCAGAGTTTAGGAGCCATCCACGATCTATTTCTGGAAAACTCCGTGAGAAGATGTACACACAGTGTGTGCAATGTTTTTATCCTGAAAGAGGGAGAGTTGGGAGAGAAAAAATATGGTGCTTGTAGTAGATAAATCAATAGTAATGGAGGGGCAATGTGGCTCAGTAACACCTGGGATAAGGAGGAAATGTGTGGCTAATCTCCAGGGGGATCTAAAGAGTTAATTAGGTGGATCTAAAAGGAGTGTTTTTATGGTCTGACTTGTAGTTTGATAAGAAACTTCTAAGTTTGTTGTTTTATGGTGAATGGAAGCAGTGTTAGGGGAGATAAATGTGTATAGGAGTTTGTTAAAAGGGAGGTAATTAGGGTTGGAATGTTGTTAATGGTGACAGAGAGTAAATATCCAAAGATTTTGGTTTTGAGGATTCTCTCAGTTTGATTGATTAAAAATAATTGATATGTGGCAGATTTTCTTTAATTTTCATAACTGACATACAAATTAGCAGATTTTCTAATTTTATCAGCTAATGTATATTTATTTTCTTGCACAATAAAATTCAGCTTGATAGTAAAGAAAACTTGAATATGTATACATATGAATTTAGCTCGATCCTTTTTCAAAAATTTGCAATGAAGCTCAGGTTTACATCAAGGAAAATTAAGCATGATGTATTCCCATCATTTGAATTGAATTTCATGGTTAACAGGCTAGTGTAGGAATGCAGGTTGTTTGGGAAGAAGATGTACACAACCCCCTACAACTGCAGCAGAATCCCTCTTGATAAAATTGTTTAAGTTAATTTGTGATTGGTCAGTACTTTGTGATTGGTCAGTACTTTGTGATTGGTCAGTAATTTGTTGTGATTGGTCAGTAATTTGAGTTTGCTAGGTTAGTAATTTGAGATAGGTCAGTACTTTGTGATTGGTCAGTAATTTGAGATTGGTCAGTAATTTGTGATTTGTCAATAATTTGTGATTTGTCAGTAATTTGTGATTGATCATTAATTTGTGATTGGTCAGTAATTCATGATTGGTCAATAATTTGTGATTGGTCAGTAATTCATGATTGGTCAGTAATTTAGTATAGATCAAGGTTTTTATGTTTCCTTAGAACCAAAGAGCTTGTCAGCTAGATTATAAAGTTAAATTCATTTTCATTAAATTTCTCATTTTATTTTTTCTACAGATTCATTAGTGTTTTGCAATATATATCTGTTTGACTAAATAGATAAGAACATCAATTAAAAAATAAATACTAGCATTTAACATATGAGAACAATTTGACTAGTGTTTATTACAATATTTATAATGAGCTCTACAATTTATATTTCTTTTGGTATCATTTTTGATATCATATTTATGCTCCATGTGTCTTGGTCATCTTGGATCATGACACATTTTGATCATTAGCATGATGTCTATAAATTAAATGAAATCACAAATTTATCTGCAGAAAGTACATGTATCTGCAATATTATTAATAAGATATTGCAAAAAAAGTGAAAGAACTTTAATAACATAATATCTCATTATATTTTTAATCTGTGTAAATGATATCATTTTTTCTGAAGACAGTCATATTTGAATATACATTTATGTTTATAAACTGTACTAATGTTAAAGTTTCATGTCTTTTCAATATGCTAACACCTTCATTACAGATCTCCCGTGTTGCTACCAGATAGAGAACCAGCGATGTCGTGAAACATGCGAGAGGACATTGTCCACCATGACTGACCAGTACAAAATAGCAGGGGAACTCGAAAATATTTGTGGACCAATTTTCCCTCAGGTAATAGCTCAGTACATACAGAATGCTGTGGGGTGGGGGTAGGGGATGGGGGGGGGGACTAGAGAATATTTATGGACCAAATTTCCCTCAGCTTAAAACCATATATGTCTGGTTGTTTGTAATTTTTTGTTTTTGACCAATCCCTCCTATCATATGGTTTGTTATTAAATGCTTTTTAACCCAAAGGTCAGAAAATATATATATATATATTTCTATAAAATATATTATGCATAGGCAGAGGATAGGTTCACAGAAAATATGTCATTTTGAGATGACACAAAAATACTTTTTGGCAGAAGCAACATACTTGAAATCCCAGTTTTTATTTTTAGATACACATAAAATGTATAAATTGTCTTCTTATCATTGCCTTCAGCTTGGAAAAAAGCTAACTCAAAAAACGCTAGGAGAAATGATACAACAGTTTTGTTGGTTTAATTGATATTGCAAAAAAAAAATTTCGTAAGTAAATAATATAAGTATCGAAAGTTTGGTTGATGACAGCTGCATAACAAGAATCCATTAACATGAGGAACTAGCTGATTACTGCATTAGTCGTGATACAGGGAGACAGGCAAAATGATGGGGAGTCGTAATTTCTCACACGATCTTGTCACTCACCAACAAAAAATTCTGACAGGGAATGAGTTTCACTCATACATTTTTCGCCTTATCTCTGTGGTTTTTTTTTTATTTTACTGGCAGAGCGGTTTTTTTAAAGGTTTTGCCAGATGAGGGTGAAATTGACGAGTGAGTGTACTCTGCGGGGGGAGGGGGGATAGCTTGTGGAACAGCTGTCAGGTGCGAAGTATTACTGGCACAATATATGAAGTATTACCATTGGTACAGCGAAAACCTTGTCATAAGAATATTCCACAAATTGAAAAAAAAGTTATATGGCAAAGTTTAAACAGTGTCAGAGATAGGGAAAAAATTGTTTAAGTATATCACTTAACATACCAAAGTAATTTGGACAGAAAGAAAATTTAAATAAATTTAAGAAGTTAATACTGTAAACATATTTCCATGGTGTTATATTTCTGTGGAATCACAATTTCTATTCAATCTACGGGTAGAAAATTAGTCAGATTTCTTGGATTGCCGTTGCATATCTTAACTGCACTTTAAGTAAGCTGGGACATATTTCCATGGAAATTTTTGCCTTTGTACATAGCTTAAATTAATTCTACTCGGAAAAATGTACGTCTTCAGTAAATCCTTGGGCATGCTTAGGATTACTAGTCATATTGACTGTTCTGTCCTCTAAACAAAAGAGCTCCACATGAAACATTTGTACTATTTTCTTGGATTTTAATTATTTCCCTGGATTTTTCTTAGACCCTTACTATTCAGTAATTGAATCTTCTAGACAGTTTACAAAAAAAAAAAAGCGTAAATTAATACTTTTTTATGGAACTGCATAATCATTTACAAGAGATTCTGATAGACAATTGCAATTTTTTTTTTTTTTAATCATATTGCTAAGAAGACATGCAAAGTTATTTCCCTTTTCAACATTGCTACAAACATAAGCCAAAATTTTGGATAAACATTTTAAATTGTTTTAAATCCACTAATCATCTTCATTTCTAGTCAACAAACTTAAACTTGTAAGAAAAAGTTACAAACTAGCCGAGTCAGAATGACTAATGAAACTCTATATCCTGGGAATTTGACTTTTCTTGAAGACAGCTCAAAAATAAATTTTGAAAAAATCATCTCTGATTCTATGGATTCAATGACAAACATATGGAGCTAAAATCTATTTTTTGTTTCATTTAGTGAAATCTGTAAATTTCAGTCGAATTCCCCATTGAAACCCAGGGGAGATAATGTCCCACACAGCAGTAGCCTCCCTTTAATATTGTCATCAAGCAGTGAACATTATATCAGAGGAGAACAATGGCAGATAAGGCGAGAGAGGGTTTGCTCATATCATTGTGGGAGATAAATGTGAGGAACTCAAGTGTTATGTTGATGGGGTCCCTCGGCTGACGTGTAATAGCAGCTCTCCAGCGAGGAGATATTTAAAGCACAGCTCTTTTACGATCTTTTCCAGAGGGGATTGGGTACAGTGCCTGTGTTATGAGAGGCCTTTGGGAAGTTGACAAAAAATGTGATAAGAGCGAAGTGATGCAGTGGGATATAAATCTATAGCGGTGTGATAACTCAGATAAATTCAATTTATAACATCTGCCAGAGTTATAGTTTCTGATTTATTTATCAAATCTGGGGTATCTGTGCCAGGATTTAGTGCTTATCACATACACAGGTTTACAATATATATGTGTGAATTTTTTTTCAAGTGGGTGGTTAGTAAATTTTTACTAGAATCTGTGTAAGCAATATTTTCAAGGTCATTGCTGCTTAATGGAGATATTCTTCTTGGTAAGGTGGGGGTGGAGGGGGTGGGTGGGTGTGCAGGGACTGGTGAAATTTTCGGAGATGTGTATCTTTTGCTGGTTTTGAGAGAATCTTTATATATATTTATTTTTATTTACTCTTCCAGCACCCCCCTTGGAGTTGTTTTTTATCTCAACCACCTCACAAAAAAGTGGAAGAAATCACCATGGACTATGCTAGACTACAGTGTTGCTCTAAAGCCAGCAATGACCGCTGTAGAACTCTCTGTACCAGTGTAAGTGTACAGTGTATACAAAAATCTTCTCTGATCACTTACATAATCACTAATACATGCACATGTTCTATAATGTACAGAATTTGATTACTTCCTGATACTATCAGTTTGATCTTTTGGGATGTTTAATTAAATTTGATTAAAACCATATCTTAATTGATAATTATGTAAAACAATGAGTCAATCATCATACAGTATGCTAAGCCTTTTTGAGCCCTCTCTTAAAATATATGAACACAGAAATAAATATATTAAATATTGGATTTTAAAGACTCATATGCATACAATTTGTTTAAAATGAAGTATTGGTATTCAAAGGCCCAGATCTTGTGATAAATAATCAGCAGTCTTTACATATTTAGATCAAAATGACCCATTGCCAAAATAATTTGAATTTCCCGCTCTTTCAGACGTACAGCAGTGATTGGCAGAGCCACTATTCAGAGTTCCAGTCCAGCTGTCAGGACCTGACTTTACCCGTGTCCAGAATGGAGGCCCCTATGCTCACCTGTATAACTGATGGTGAGCTGAGTTTTCTCTTATGACATACTTTGACAATAAGAAATAATTTGATTAGGATATCATTTATCTGTAATGTTAGCTTTTTGAGTTTGTCAATTTCTACTGTAAACACAGGTATTTTGGCAAAGGTAATTTTTGCCATCTTGGTTAAACTTTATTCATTTTCATGGGGATTATTTTGCAAAAACAAGTAAAAGAAGACTGATTATATATAACCATGTGTGATATAATGATTTAAATTATATTATGCATAAGGTTAATCTTTTATGGTGTTTCTATGATCACAAAAATAACCCACATAAACATTTCTATGTTTACATGAGTGATATTATTGAGACACTTTAGCTTTTGTGAAACTTTTAAAAATTTAACCAATCTTGACCTATTAAAATTGCAGCTTATGAACCATGCAAGTTGGGATGTGATGGTCTCGATTTTTGTACCAACTTTAATAATCGACCAACAAGTCTGTTCCGAGCTTGCTCCAAGCAGTCTGATAATGCAGCCAGGGCAGAGTTTCAGAGTTGGCTTGTGACAAAACGACCCCTCTCTCCTCAACTTCAAATACCAGTCAAAGGTAAATGTCAACCTTCAATACAAGAAACTATTGTACTTGTATCAATTTCTTGTCTCCCTGGTTTTCAAAAATTTGGAAGATGGGACATTCAGTCCCTTTACCTTTTTTTAAAAAGGAAAGAAGTATCAATTATGTGTCCCACAAATTGAAGACATTTGCAAATAATTAATACATGTAGCATCCATTCCTTCAAACTTCAAACTTGAAATGTTTATATTTCCAATGAAATTCTATATAGTATGTGTCCACCTCTTGCTGATGTCTATCAACTTGTATACATTTTTTTATCAGTGTTGTATCTGTTGTAATACAATGTTTTGAATGTGAACTCTACTTCAAAATGACAGATTGATATGTCCACCTTCTCTTTTCTATTTTGCCTTAATGCTGGTATATATTCTGAGTCCTAATGGATCTCTAGTATTTAAATCTGTATTGAGGTTCATTTCTATAACAGATATCAACACCTGTGAACCAGAAATGTGGAAAGCCATCGCCTGTGCCATGCAGGTCAAACCCTGTGGTCGCAAACCAGCCTCCTTTGTCATTTGCAGGTAAAAATCTGTTCCATCTGATTAAAAAAAAATTCCTATTTTCTGTGGCTGCTAATGAATATGTTTTGAATATCGTTCACTTTAGGGGAAAAACAGTAAATAGTTTGTTTAAAATAGCTATACATGATAAACAGAATGAAAACAAATGATGGTAAATGGGTGTCCTAGGATTTGTGCAGAATCTGACTGATGATTTAAAACAGGATGGTTTTGTCACATGACAGAATTGTATTTAAGTGACATTGATCCTCTGACAAGAGGGATAATTCTAACTTAGATAAACAACTTTTATTCCTTTATAAAATTGTAAAATAAAAAGAATATTTCTCTTGAAATTTGCATAGCAAGGTATGCTGAAATTGGAAAAGTATCAAAGCAAAATTTTATATGAATGTACAAAGGGATGATCATTGATGACAAACTTTCAGATACTGAGTATCAATGAACCTTAGATTCAGTTCTGTAAACTGTTCATAAAAAAATGATCAAATCTAAGTTACTCTTTGTAACCTTGCAGTCTTTAGCCTCTTTGTGAATGATATTTTCCTTTGAAGACTAAATTGTTCTGTTTATAGAGATGACTGTGAATACCTGCTGAACAAATGTCTGAACACCTCGGCCATCCATCCGTCTCAATCTGTCAGCCACCTGTGTAAACTCCTGTCTCCAGACGACACAGCTAGGTCCTGTATCTCCATCAAACAGTTCACAGGTCAGTAGGTCACACAATTATAGGTCAGTAGGTCAAACAGTTCACAGGTCAGTAGGTCACACAGTTTATAGGTCAGTAGGTCAAACAGTTCATAGATCAGTAGGTCATACAGTTTATAGCTCAGTAAGTCAAACAGTTCAAAGGTCAGTACATCATACTAATATAGGTTTGTAAGTCAAACAGTTCACAGGTCAGTGGGTCACACAGTTTATGGGTCAGTATGTGAAACAGTTCACAGGTCAGTACATCATTTTGATATAGGTTAGTAAGTTAAACAATTCATGGGTCAGTACATCACACACAGTTTTTCATACATTAAAAAAGTTCAAACTTCAGTAAGTCATTCCGTTTATAGATGGGTCATTCAAATCGTTCACAGGTCATGATCATTAGGTAAAAGTTCACATGTCAATTGGTCATTAAGCATACAGGTCAGTAGTCAGCAGTTCCCACCAATGAAAACACAGGCAGGTTATTTATCTCTATCAAACAGGTTATTTAAAGTCACTAGAACAAATACCGGTCAAGAGGTCAAATAGCTCACATGTCAGTAGGTCAAGGATGTTCTTCGGTAAGTAGACTACATTCTCTGTAGAGTAAGGTCATGCAGTTCACATCCTTTAATTCAAAAGTTTTTGTTGAAGCTGTTCACAACATCAACAGGTTAAAATATTAATAGATCAAGCAACTTATATCTGTAAATAAATCCAGTTTGTCACATATTGAAAGCATATCACAAATTTTTTAAATCTTCAAAAATCAAATATGGTTATTATTCAAGTTGTTTAGAGGATTAAGCCTTCTTAGTAGTCTTACCTATGGCTATCTTTTATGATTTTCATGTTTTTTGTCTAATCTGTATTTTTAGTATGCTATTTTATATATTGGACAGAGCGGAGCCCGTTCAGTGACTACTCCACTACAGATCTGACCACTCCGTGTAACCCCAACCCTTGTGATGCCGACGAGGTCTGCTGGAACAATCATCGTAAATGTCGTCACCCTGAGAATTGCCCCGCTTACGTGTGTCACAAAGGTAAATACGAGGGGTTATCAAAAAGTTCGTGGACTAGCGCCATAAGATTAAAACCGCTTTAGGTACATCAATGAATTTTAAAACATTTAGTTAGCATCATCTTTTCTATCTATAGAATAAACCATGAATCATAAGTTTTATTTTTTAAATAAATTTATAATGTTTTTGTAAGCAATTGTATGTTCAGGCGGCGCAACCTCCAATATGACGTTTTTTCTACCTGAGTGTAACTGAGAAAAACTCTTTTGATATGAACATTTGTCATAAAAAAATCCTGTTATTTCAGGCATGTGGTACAACACAATTGTTCTGTAAAATTTGCAGTTTTTACCCCATTCTGTACGTTCTATCAAATTTTATCGTAAATTTTATATGGAGTGTCCAAAAAATTAAGGCTTGAAAATGACGTCAAAAAGGGGGAGGGGTTTCTTTTTCCACCATTCTATAAAGTTTCGAACCTGGAAAAACTGGTATAGACCTACGGAATGTTAAAACGGGCAAAAGAGAAATAAAATGCATCCAGAGTGTTTGTTTTTAATGCCCAAAAAGATTCAGAGAGATGAAAGATGCACAGTTAATGTCGATTTGTAGTCAGGGTGTCAAAAATCAGTCACGTCGAAAAGTGACGTTGATCATGTGTTGTAGAATTTGAACTCCAACAAGCTAAGTATTCTGGCATAATCAAGTGAGGATCTTTCCCTATGTATAGATCCATTTACAATATTATATGCATTGAAAGCAGCTGTTCATGACATTATAAAGTAATATAAACAAGATGGGCTTCAACCCTTACTTAACTCCAGATAATCTCATCAAGATAAGTGTATGAGGTAGAGAGAGTGGACAATGAGAAACAATGACGTTGTCGAGCGTTATGAAACTAAACGCCGCCAGCGCCGGGTGATCATAGAATGTCTTTTTTATTTTAGAATAATTTGGAAAATTATCAACGTATCGAGCTAAAATTTTCAACATTTCTTAACTTTTTGTTGTTTTATGTTTCTTATAAATTTTGTAAGCACAGACTACATAGTATTAATTTTATCGCATCAGTCCACGAACTTTTTGATAACCCCTCGTATATACTGTTAAAGCACTGTAGCAGAATTGTACTTCAAGACAAACAAGGGTCCAAGATATCTGTCATGTACTTCAGGCAGGAACAATCCAAGCTATTTGATTCATCAGATATTCATGGAAATTAGTAAACTGTACCTCCTTCCCCACAGATTTGAATCTCCTTGTTTCGGTGTATTGATATCACTTACTCTTGAAAACTGTTTACATTATACACAAAAAGTCAAACTGAAATAAGGGAAATATTTTGTCTCTATACTTTTTTTTCACCGATCAAATTGTATCTGAATAGTTATGGTATAAACTTTATAATTCTTTGCTCAGCCTATGCAAAGTATGAGAAATAGGGAAGACATATATACTAATAACACCTCTGGCAAATCAAAGCAGTATGATGTTTTAAATGAAGACTTTTTTTAATTTTAGCTTGCTCCATGGGTATAGACTCTGCCATGGCTGTCCCTAAGCATGTTTACATCAGGATACCCAACACATCTGTCAGTGACAGCAAATCAGACAGCTGTGTTAAACAACAGATCTGTCGCTGTGGCAACAAGAAGCTGGAAAATTGTAGGAGTATTCCTTGTACAAAACAGGACAAGTGTCACCTTGGGGGTGCTCAAGGGGGAATCAGTAAGAGTGAGTATTGTGGGGGCACCTAAAGGGGTGTAAGTAAAAAAATTGAACAGTAATTGTGACTTTGAAACTAAATTAGTTATGGAGTTAATAACTGAACTCTTGTTTGATAAATATGAAAAAAAAAAGCATAATATGATACACCCTTTATTTCTGTTTAGATCATGGGGAACATTTCCGGATTGATTGTAATTTCTGTATCTGTCATTCTGGAGAATTAGTTTGTACAAAAGGTCGTTGTCCATCGGGAAATGATGACTCCACATTGACCGGACTATCCTGTGATTGTCCACATAATTATCACCCTGTGTGTGGAGACAATGGGAAAACTTACCCCAATTCTTGTCTGGCCAAACGGTGAGTGAATGATGCATATATTCTTCAAAAAAAAAAAAAAAGAAAAGAAAAAAAATTGTGTTCAAAGAGAGATAACTCGTTTTCCATTTCAGTTGTGGAGGCCTAAGAACTGATCAGATTCGCCAAGGAGCTTGTAGGTTGGCTGATCCTTGTCGGGAAAATCCTTGTGGAAATAGCTTCAGGTTAGTATGAGAATTTTTAAATGGCACCTCCACAAATCAAACATTCTAGCTGTTGTTTGATCTGTATTTGTTATATATAAATTTGTTTCTCTGTTACAGGTGTTTACCTAAGCCACAGGTGTGTTTACACATAGCCCGGGAGAGCTGTCTACAATATGAATGTGGTATGTTACAATTCTGCCTATGAAATACAATTTAAAAATATTTTAATAAAATCTAGCTAAAATGACATACTAAGCTATATTTTGGACTTACTCCTGTGATCAAATGTATGACAGGTTGATATATTTTTTGTAATCGCTGCTCAAAATTATAACATTTACTGTGGAACTATTTTGATTTGTGAGGGTCAATGTTCACAGGGCAAGCAAAATTTTATTAGTTCATGGGGACCTTATTTTGGAGGTTACTCATATATACAGAAGATTCAATGAATAAATACGCTGACAAATTAATTGTTCAAGGATTGATGTAAATTTGTAGATAAGGGTGACCCACAAAATCCATGAACATTAGTCCCCCATGCCATGAACATTGATGATTCCACAGTATGATACACTGACTTTTTTGGGAAAAAACTTAACATTTTGTTTGGTGACCAATGGAATAATTAGCCTCCACTAAGGAAAATGTACTGTAAAATTAAAAGCATTGATCTACTTAAGTGTAACCTAGGCACAAAAATCTGTGTGTGAATTTTAATCCTTCACATCTAGCTATTCTTCATTGTGTCCATGTGACAGTGTACCTGATTTTTGTGTTACAGTGCCACATGGTGTGAAGTGTAACGCCCATTATCATGACCCAGTCTGTGACACGGAGGGGACGGAGCATACCAATGCCTGCCTCTTACTGAAGAAAGGGAAAACACTGGCCTATAGAGGGCATTGTCAGGTGAGTGGACATAACTATATATAGGAGGACGGGGGGGGGGGGGGGGGGGGGGGGGATACTAATGCCTGTCTATTACTGAAGAAAGGGAAAACACTGGCCTACAGAGGCCATTGTCAGGTGAGTGGACATAACTATATATAGGAGGAGGGGGGGGGGGGCATACTAATGCCTGTCTATTGCTAAAGAAAGGGAAAACACTGCCAGGTGAGTGGACATTACTGTATATAGGAGGGGAGGATGCATACTATTCTAGGGCCATTGTCAGGTAAGGGGACATCACTTGCCCAATCACACTTGTTAAAATTTCACTCTTCAAAATTTTCCCAGATAAAGTGTGTTAAAAGAGAGATAACTCTTTGTAGAATTTACTCCTTTGGAATATGCCCAATTAAGATAAAGGCAAATGGGGCCAAAATAAATTCTGTATACAATAATCATTGTATTGGAGAAAGGATAAGGAAACTGACAAACTCTTACAGTTTTTGATTCAGCTGTCTAACTTTTTACATTCTTTAACTGATGTCCGTTTTATTTTTTAAAGACCCACTGCTCTACCACCTCCCCAGTCTGTGGTCATGACGGGGAGACCTACACCAGTCAGTGCCAGGCTTTAGCTGCCCGCGTCACAGTGGACTACCAGGGACCCTGCAGGGTGGTGGGACATTTTTCAGGTGAGATTTTTGAGGGGGACTGGCTAGAGAGGGGTATAAAAGATTATCTACCATTACTGAAGCATGATTTTATACAGTTTCAGTAAACATGCCTATCACAAATTTATGCCTATACTGTGAAGTGATTTTCATTCTCTGTGATATTAAAACAAATTATGAACTTATTGGATATAACAAATTACCTTGATAAAAGATGAAGATTGTTCTTTCCTAGCTGGCACTTCCTTACAAGTGTGTTTTACAGCACTAATGTATTTAGTTAATTTAAGATTTTCTCATTGACTGTGTTTTTATAAGGTTGAAGCATTGATACATTTGTTACCGCCTTTCCATCATCATTCCAGGAAATATGTCCAGTGGTCCGTGTCCTGGTGTTAGCTGTGACCCAGTTCTACCTCCGCAGTGTAAACCAATCCTACCCCCAGGGGCATGCTGCCCTGTGTGTGGTGAGCTGAAAACTATAAATTATACTATACTCTAACTGTTTGTTTACTTCAATACATTAATACAGTTGAACTTCATTATCTCAAACTTCAATATCTTTAGTATCATGGATAATATGTTGAAGTGAGTTGGAAGGCCCAAATACCTATTCTTTTTGTATTTTAACCTTGAATCCTTGTATATTTCGATTTTTTCTCTCAGTCTCATCCAGTTCTAGATAATGAGGATCAGCTGTATATACAGTCAAACCTCATTATCTTGAACTCCATAGAACAAGAAAAATCTCGAGATATCCAGGCAATCGAGATATAACTGAGGTTAAAATACACAATATGATGTTTGTTTAATGTACATTTTTTAGCTGCGGAGTTAAGAGTCCTGTACAAACCGGAGCTGGCAGAAATGGTGTCCCGAGAGATGATGTCCGGACCACTGAGTGTTCAGCAGACTGTGGACATTCTGTCCCACAACCTGGAAATCCTCGAATGTGACGTGTTTGGATTCTTGGGTGTCGACCAATCAGAAGTTGTCATCTTGATTAAACCAGTTACAGCCACACCCACCATGTTACAGGTATGTGAATTTCCACACTATTTATCACCTTTACTTTGTCTCAATGATTAAAATCAGTAAACATGAGGGATTAATTGGCATTAGTAACAATCTCCTAATCAGTATTTGTTCATGATCAGAGGCTTTATATATCAATCATTATGGTTTCTTGAATGGATTAAAAGTGACAAATGTTTTGTATTAAAGAAAAAAAACCTTCCATACAAATGCATAAGTATGAACAACTAATCTGCGAAAATATGCCCAGCTGGGGGGGGGGATTGTTAGGAGGAATTACTTGATGATATAATATGTGTGGAAGGACACTTGTACTGAAGCGATATCAATTCTTATTACTGCTTATTAGCAAGCTTTCAGAGATGTAAACAAATTATCACTGATGTACGTATTTAATTTTCTAGGTACAGGCCTGTATACGGGAGGCAGAGAGGATTGAGTACCTAGTACAGACAGACAGTCCACTCCTAAAGGCCTACGCTACTCTTACACCATTTCTTCTAGCCCCCATGAGGGCCCCCAGTACAATAGCAGTGTCCAGTAGTGGAGCTCTGAACTCCTCATTTCCTCTTTTATCTGTGTTAATTATATTGACTCTGTTTACCTTAAGGACGTTTAACTCTTCGTGACCCGTAGGATGCTACATTGTCAGGAATTATTAATGTTTTAATGGATCATGAAGACCTACCAATTTGCTAATGGTAGATCTCTATGTAATAGTATCTTTGTCAGAGGTATGTGTTCATAATGGCAAGAGGATGAACAATGGTGAAGAAATCGTCCAACAAAGAGATCTCCGATAAAGGAGATACAAAGATTTCAGATTTGACAAGGGATAGAGAAAATAGGGAAGATCACCTAAATTTTACAAGCTTCAAGTCAGTTTTACTTGTTCAAATTGGAAGCAGTTTGAGAAGATCTGAATCGCTTGAACAGAAAATTTGAAAGTACATTTGTGCTATTTTTGTTTCTGTGGTCAGTTCTTCATAATAATGTGGTGATTATATTGGCCAAATTTCTGTGATAACCAGTCAGAGCTGAAGGAGACAAACAGATTTGATTGGTTAGGAAGAATGGCAAGTAAGGATTTGATTGGAGAATGTTTATTTTGGTCCAATCAGTATTATTCATTTTGGACAGATTTGGTCAAATGTTCGGTGCTATAAAGTTATAGCTTTACAAATGATCAACAGCATTTATAACTATCTCAAAGACTCAGTTTATATTTTTTCACTTTGCAGTATGAATCAGTTTTAAAGATGGGAGTATTTTTTTTTCCACCCAGTATGTTTCTGAATTGTGTAGTATTATATACAAATGAAGACATTTCCTTTGTAGCATTACATCATGTTATATTTATAGCATTATATTAACAAAAGCCAAAGACTTTCATATTCAACTTTTATGCTAACACAAATTTCAATTTCTTCTGCAAAAATTAGACACAAAACAGACAGCATAATTCTGTTGTGAGGATTTTTATTTTGTTTGTTTTGTTTTTCAATGCCATGTAATGTTGTAATCTCAGACGTGATTGGTCAGAATCTCGGGGGCAGTATATAGTGTAGAGAGAGGAGATGGATGTATTTTAATACTCGTGACTATCAGACACTATTAATCTTGCAGGGCATCTTCATTTATTTTTTTGTATGCATATGTATGTGTGTGTGTGTGTTAAGTGCTACAGGCAGAGTCATAGAGACTCAACAGTATTCATTATTTATATTAAGTATACAAAATCAGAGAGAGAGAGAGGGGGAGAAGGAGAGAGAGAGTGGTGTCATGATCTATTTTGTATCTGCTGGTGGATATTTTTGTAATTCATTGTAGAATCTTTCTTGTCTGTATTTTACTATAATTATAGGATGTGGAGCATTGTCGTATGTTTATACATGAAAGAGAGGAATCATATTATATATGTATGTATGTGTGTATGAATTAAGTTGGATGAATTAAGTTATGTTTGTTAAGTAATTTCTATGATTATGATTGTGTATGTTTGTGTTGTATGTTTGTTTGCAGTGTAAGTCTGGTGACAAACAGCATTCTACAAATCTGGCTACCAGTCTAAAGTGGATTTGACATATCTGTGTCATATTCCTTTGTGAATTGGGGTGGCCATTTTGTATTTTGATAATCAGTATTTCTAGTCAAAGTAAGCTGATGACAAAGTGATGGTATTTTTTCCGTCATATTTTTATGTTAGGCACATGTGACATATTTTTAAATGAATATTCATGTCTTCTTCTTTACAATGTTTGACTCAGATCGAAAAAAAATCTCTTAAGGTGGAATGACCCTCTAATCAAGAAAGATAACTAAGTTTTTTTTAAGATTACAGTAACTTTAATATTGATAAAACATGTTTCATTTACTACATTTTCAACTTCACAATGGATTTTTTTTTACAGTTTACAAAATTTGCTACAGATTTATCTCTATCTCCAGTTTTTCTGTTTTATAGCAATCTTCCATCAGAAAGATTCCATCTAAATTCCATTAAGTGAGCAGAGGGTCCTTCTTTGTTATATTTTTAAAAATATTTATTTCACTCACAATGAATGTGTACCAAAGGTAGCTACTGAATGGCACTTATGTAAAACATTATTCTATCAATGAATTGATATTTACCTGATTTCAGATAAAGCTTTAAATTTCCGAAATGTCATGCTTAAAACGTCACTTCAGAGAATCTCTCTGACAAGGCAGTCAGAGAGCTGTATCTTCTATATTCAAAACAGAAAGTAAGACTGTATACGAATTTTCTGTTGTGTATGTCATAATCAATCCACGTGTATATGTGGGTATCACATGGCTTAAACAGCATGGTCACATGACATTGTCTTGTTCAGTATTATAGCCAAACAAGAGACGTTTTATCATTGTGTGCCTGATTTTGTATATATATTTTGTGTAAGGCCATTGTTTTTTTAAAATATGTGCACGTAGTGCATGGTGTTTGTTACAGAAATTAAAAGAAAATGTTATTTTGTTGATCCTTGTTTGTTGTCTTTATGACATTTGTGTATCAACCCTGCATTAAGGTTGTCTGGCCAGAAGATATTTTACCAAGCAGTTTAGGTATAACCAGCTGTTTTAATAACATTGGGAATCTACCTTCATTAAGGTTGTCTGTATCAAAGATGTACTTTACCAAGCCAAGCAGTTTATGTATAACAAGCTGTTTTAATTACATTGGGAATCTATCCTTCATTAAGGTTGTTTGTACCAAATTAAGATACAGGTAGTTTACCAAACCGTTTAGGAATATCTAGCTGTTTTTATTAATGTAAATTGGAAATTTATCCTTTGTTAGGGCTGGCTCTCTCTCAAATATGCAGGTTTTTGACTAAGAAGTGTACATGTAAGTATTTGGGCTCTAATGACCTCTGATTTGATTTAATGAAATATACAAGAAATAAACGAAACTTCCGTGTCATTTTGAAAGACAACTGAGAAATAGGTCATGCAGATTTGCATTGACTTTAATGACAATTACACATAATTTGCGAATAAAACAAGTAAAATTTACTTTATTTTCAAAATCTTAGTGAAAGGGTGCTAAATTTATTTCATGTATAATTTCAATACTGACTTTTCAACACTGTTTACCACTTAAAAAAACTTAATAGAAGTCTGTATCCCTTTTCACAAAAATCTTATGACTAAGATTGAAACACTGACTGCTCTGTAATTTCTATCTTTAATAAAGTTAATGATCGAAGATTCGGGAGCATATAGTTTTTGTCATGTTCGTCCGTCTGTCTGTCTGTTTGTCCGCAAAAAAAAAATAACCTTGCCCATAACTTTTGATTGGTTGGAACTATGGCTTTCATATTTCAAATGTGTATTTCTTGTGACAAGGCCTTACTTTGGGTACCAACATATTTGACCTCTTGACCTTGGGGTTTGACCTTCATAGGTGTATTTCTTGTGACTTGTGACATGACCTTCCATTGAATATCAACAATTTTGACCTTGACATTGGTATATGACCCACTTTTTAAAGAAAACTTTAAAGGTGCTTAGACACAGATTTGAAGTTAATATTTTCTCAAATTTTCTGTGTAAAATCACGACATATATATTGCAATAGCATTTCACACGAAAATGTAATTAAAAACTTATTTTATCTGGAAATTATTGGAACTACGAATTCCTGGACGCGTTTGATTAACACATCCTTGCACTTTCACAAATTTTATCTTTATCCTTAATATTTAAGAAAAGAAACGATTTTGTTGTGTATTAATGAAAAACATTACATCTATAATCCAGAAAATTCAGAGTAGAAATGTGCGAAAGCAAACCCCCTCACTAATATCGTCAGCCCGTGCTCAGTGTTGTGTACAGAGTTTAACAAATTGAATACACCCGTGAAACGTGAACTGTTTTTGTAAACAGGGCACGAGCTCTGTTATTGTTAATTTTTAATGTTTACGATTCACCGGGTGTGTTCAATTGTTAAAGTCTGCACACACTACTGAGCACGGACTGACAATACTGTGAGTGGGTTTTGCTTTCGAACATTTTTACTCTGAATTTTCTGGATTATAGTTTTGATATTTTTCATTAATACACAACAAAATTGCCACTTTTCTTAAGTATTAAGAATGAAATTAAAATTTGTGAAAGTGCAAGGATGTGTCAACCAAACGCGTCCAGAAATTTGAAGTTTCAATAACTTCGAGATGAAATAAGATTTTTATTATATTTTAGTATGAAATGCTATAGCAACATATAAGTCATGAAATTTTACAGAAAATTTGAGAAAATATTAACTTCAAATCTGTCCAAACACCTTTAACCCTGTCCATAACTTTTGAATGGTTGGTGATAGGGATTTCATATTTCACATGTGTATTTCTTGTGACAAGACCTCCCATTGGGTACCAACAATTATGACCCCTTGACCTTGGAGTTTGACCTACTTAAGAAAAACGTTAACCTTGTCCATATCTTTTGAATGGTTGGTGATAGGGCTTTCATATTTCATAAGTGTATTTCTTGTGACAAGAACTTCCCTTACGATTTATTTTGACCATTTGACTTTGACATTTGACTTACTTTTCAAAAAACTTTAACTTTCTTTAACTTTCGTCATATCTTTTTAATATTTTGTGCTAGGGCTTTCATATTTCAGTTATACTCCCTGAAACAAGACTTTTGTTGGGGTAACAACATTGTTTGTCTCTTAACCTTGGAGTTTGACTTGCATTTGAGAAACTTTAACCTTCGCCATAAGCTTCCATACATCAGTGTTGCACAAACACATCTTGTCATCAAATAGTACCCCCCCCCCCCCCACACACACACACACATTCTTATGATACATCCTGTTTTCATGTACAACGTCCCTTTCCTTTCATGTTCTTCCTCAAAATGAGTGCTTTTGACAGATATTTTAATACCTTTATAACAGCAGATATTTCAACACATTTATAACAACAGGCATTCCGATACCTTTTTACTCTGTTTGAGAACAGGTATGAATAGAAGTCTGTAGTTGAGCATTCAATTCGACATTTACATATATCGAAAACAAGTCTCTCGCTGTGTCTTTCATTTGTCATTAAAATATATTGACGAAGTATACATTATCAATTAACTGAACTCGAAATAGAAGACATCAGAGAGTCTAACATATATAGTTCATATTTGGATGTTGAACTAGAAAACGACATTTATGGCAAACTACCTACACTTTAAGGTGGAGAACAATTATAGATTTCAAATATAGTCCCAGATCCCCGGAGCCTGGGGATGGGGACTAAAACCATCAAACTTCTTACAATTTTCAATATTTTTTCTCTATGCAACTGGACATCCAGCAAATTGAATTTTGATAATGAACAGCTAGCCCTCCACCAAGGCCCGAAGATGAGGCTTAATTGATGTTAGATTGAAAATTCATCATATAGTAGATTTTTTGGTAATATACTGCATTTAAAACAAATAATTTAATTGAACGTTACTTTTTTTCAATCAAATGAAAAAAAAACCTTCTACATTCTTATGATACATGCGGTTTTCATGGGTAACTTCCTTTTTCTTTCATTTTCTTCCACTTGTCACCTGTTGTTCAAAATAAGTGCTGTTGAGAACAGAAAGCCTATGTAAGAAACTAGTATATATTTTCAAGGCATTGTAAAACCTGTAATATTTCTGAAAACACTTAGTATTTCACTATCTATTTTGTATTGTGTGGTACAAAATGCTGGAGAAAAATAAGAATTCAGTTTAATGAAAGAGTTGGAAGGTCTAAGTAATTAACATTTACAGATCAAAGAAGGCTTGGAGATCGGCCCAGTAAAAAAAAGACTCAGCGTAGAAAAATGGATCTACTATCCACAGCCTGCCACCTCTTTCCTTCTGTTGAATTTTCCCCCCTTTTTTTCAATATTTTGTCCCGCATGAAACAAAAGCAGAGAGTGGAATATTCAGTTTTTCAGAGATATCACGTCTTAAATTTTACAATCCTTTGATAATGTACATCTACAATAAGCTTTCTGTTTTCAAAAACAATTATTTTGGACATAAGCAATCAACAGGAAGTACACAATGTAAAAGGAAGGTTAAATACATGAAAACTGCACATTGCATAAAAAAGAAGGAAGTATTATCCTTCGATAAAAATTGTATATCAAACTATGAATATTTTAATTTTTAGAATATTTAAAAAATTGTGTCTTGAAAAAAATCTCAATATTTTCTGGGAACATGTACCTTCGAAAATCTATACTACTAAACATATAACTGGTTAAGTGTTTTCGTGATGACTATTAGCAGCTAGCCTTTTACCAAGATTGGGAAATTCGCGTCCCCCTTGGACCAGAGACGCAAAGGTGGGAATTGAGTTTGTCATATATTAAAAGTACAGTAACTGTTCAATTCTAATGGATATATAATAGGTAAACTTTTGCATGATTTTAGTTAATATGTAGTCCTGTACTAAATTGAGGAAATTCATATCCCTAGGGATGGGTCTAAACTAGTGATAAACTTATTTTGTACATACGTTATTTGTTTATCTACTTTCACTATGATCATCTAACAGGCTTAACCATTTGCAGGTCATTGATTATAATGAGCAGTTCATTTTTTCCCTCCAAGTCTGTGAAATTTGTGTCCCCTGGATCCATTTCAAACCCCATGCCCTAGCTTGGTGGGGCTACGTTGATCATATACATGTGTAGTGAAAATTTATTGCATTGCAAAACCTTGAAAATCTTATGCCTGAACATCTAATAAGTAAATTGATCTGATGATGACAGTTAAGAAGGCTTATTTTCCAGATAGTGAAATTTGTGTTCCGAGAGCTCAGGGTTGGTTCATATTCTGGCTACGTTTTTCATACTGCAGTACTAATTGTTAGTTCATTATTTAAACATTGAATTGTCAACGGATTTTTCCTTTTGCCTGATCATGACAATGTGTACATGCTTAATCCTCCATGGCACCTGATCCCACCTCTGATGTTTTAAGAGGTCCGTGTTTGCTCTGCTCTCGATTTGTATTGTTTCAATGAACTTTTGAGCATGAATACTGTTCGCAATCTCCATATTTCACTCTTACAAATGCCATTGCATGATCTTTCACTAAAAGCATCTTTAATTCCCTACACTCAAGAATACTCTGTTTAAAATTGGCCCAGTGGTTCTTGGGGGAGATTATGAAAGTATAAAACGTTTACGACTAGGAGGACAACAACTACATCGACAAAAATTACAGACAACAAAATATTTGATCAGAAAAGGGGGCTATTTGCAGAGCATCAGACATTGACATTTGCATGTCTTTCGCTCAGATCCCCTTCACATGTTTATTGTAAACCTTACATCTCCGTGGAGGATGATTCATTTAGGAATGATTACTATCAAACATGTTTCGAATGCTGCATGGACCTAAATTTTATAGATAAGTAGCCAGCACGTTGAAAGTATTTTGGTAGTTCCATCCCCATATTAAACTGAAAACCCTACCAAATTTTAGCA